ATCAGGTGTGTGGCTTTGAGCTCAGGAACCAGCCCCACAAGGCGAAGCATTGAGAATGGCCAGGGATTTTATTTTTTATTATTATTTTTTATTTTTTTAAAAAGAAGAAGTAGTTAAAGTTTTAAAACCCGGCCCAGCTTAGTGCCATTTGCTTCCTGCACGTCGGGTGAATTTTCTGCGTTTTTCCGCCAGAAATGTATGCCGTTCGTTCTCCGCTGACAATGTCCTTGAGGATTTGACAGTGAAATTTTCCCGATCTTCGTTAGGATCCTGGCGCTGTCTAGCAAGGCAGCCGAGCCACTGCTCCCTTCGACTTGTGTTTGTTCTCGCAGGGCCGGAGGCTGCTGCAGTCAGCTCATCGACCAAGGCTGATCATTACAAGGGCGTTCGCTACCATGAATAAAAATGTCACACGCGCCCCTCCCGTCTCACAGCAGTACAAAATGTCAGCTCTGTCAAACACACATTGCAGGGAGCAGGGAGCGGTTGGTACAAATTGGAAAGCCGAATATTCCCTCGGCTTTCTGATATTCTTCATTTGAAGGCGAAGAAAAAACAGTTGTTAACCTATTAGCTGTGATTTTTTTAAACACCCGCTGCAGCCCGGAATGGACAGCTTCTTGGCGTATTTGGGGTTGGGTGGGATCGGCCTCTTGCTGGCGCCCTGAATTTGGGGAGACACCCCCCCCCCATCCCTGCTTGGTCTCGGAGGATTTCATGGAAGGATGTCAGTGGAGATTCCTGGTTGTCCCAAAAGTGCTTTCTCAGGAGGCAACTGGACTTTCTTATTTTTCTTTGAAGAAAAGAAAAATTTCTTTCTTCTCCTCCAAGAAGCTTCTTCAGCTCTGAGAGTCGTTGGACACTTGTACGTTTATTTGTGTCCTCAGGGTCACCTGAGTCATGAACGGATTTCCAGAAAAAAATTGCAAACTACAGGAATCATTTGCACCACTCGGGTGACCCTGAGGACACAGGTAAGCCTCCAGGTGGCCTCAACGACCCTCTAAAAGGATGCAAATGACCAGCTGTCTGCAAGGAGTATAAATCCTTCCATTCCCCACCATCCAGTCAGAGCTGAAGAAGCTTTTGGAATGAGAAGCGAAACGTCTTCCAAGAAAAACAAGAAAGTCCACCTTTGTGGAGGGACATTCCTATGAGTGTCCGCCTGGCCTCGTTGTGATGTTTGCGGAGCTTTGAAAGATTTTCCCAAGCGTCTCGCAGCCCATTTTTGTTTCTTGAAAAGGAAAAGAACTTGGGGTCTGCTCCCGTGACGCCCCCTTCAGCTGGTGATGCTCTTTGAAGGAACAGTAGAGGCGGGAAGATTTAAATCATAGCGTTGTCATGACTTGACTTTTCAAAAGTGGTACGTCCCACTCAATAACTGTCATGGATCCACTCCCAGACCGCTTTCCGTACATGAGTTCAGAGGAGGAGGGTGAGTTTGAGTCGACAGAGGAAAGGGCAGAGCTGAATAATAATAATAATAATAGTAGTAGTAGTAGTAGTAGTAGTAGTAGTAGTAGTAGTAGTAACAATAATATTGGAAGAGACCTTGGAGGTTTTCTAGTCCAACCCCCTGCTCAGGCAGGAAACCCTATACCCTTTCAGACAAATGGCTGTCCAGTCTCTTCTTAAAAACTTCCAGTGTTGGAGCATTCACCGCTTCTGGAGGCAGGTTGTTCCACTGGTTAATTGTTCTCAATGTCAGGAAGTTTCTCATTAGTTCTAGGTTGCTTCTCTCCTTGGTTAGTTTCCATCTGTTGCTTCTTGTCCTGCCTTCAGGTACTTTGAAGAATAGCTTGACTCCGTCTTCTTTCTGGCAGCCCCTGAGATACTGGAAGACTGCTATCATGTCACCCCCTGGTCCTTCTCTTCATTAAACTGGACATACCCAATTCCAGAAACTGTTCTTTGTATGTTTTAGCCTCCAGTCCCTTAATCATCTTCGTTGCTCTTCTCTGCACTCTGTAATGTTGGTCAGGATCAGGGCTCGGGAAGTGCTAGCCTGATGGAGCAGCGTCAGCTGGGTGGATTGGAGGTGTATAGGCTGAAGCTGCAGCAAGGTGACCAGGAGGCTCCAGGCGAGGACCGGGAGCAGCTGCCACCTGTTACCAATGAGAAGGAGGTGGAGTCCACCCCTCCATGCTCCAAGGACATGTAGAGCAGAGAGGAGACAGGCACAACGCAGGTCAGCTAGGCTATTCGCGAGGAGGCAACCTCGCCTCTCATGAAGGCATCGGCTACATAATCCCACTCTGTGCCTTGTGTGCTTGTGCCGTGTATCCTGGCCTGTCTGACTCCTGGACTTCCCCATTGACTTTGCTCGTCAAGAAGGTCGCAAATGTGGATCACGTGACCCCGGGACGTTGCGACCATCATAAATATGAACCAGTTGTGAAGTTAACAACACAGTTGTAAATGAATCTGGCTTCTCGCTTGTCAGAGGATCGCGAAAGGGGATGACGTGATCCCGGGACACTCCGGCCGTCATAAATATGAGTCCGTTGCCAAGACTCTGTTATTTTGATCAAGTGAGCTCAGGGATGCTACAACGGTCGTAAGTGTGAAATAATGGTCATAAGTCCCTTTTTTTTAGTGCCGTTGTAACTTCGAATGACCCCCAAAGGAACTGTTGTAAGCCAAGGTAGTTGTAGTCCGTTCAACGAGCCGCTTAAGCTTAATTATTGCTTAATTATTCCCCCCCTCTACGGCTGGTCCTTTAACCACAGGCCTGCCGCAGTAATTTAAGCTCCAGTTCGGGCATCCCCGGACCACATTCTCGATGCCGCGCAAGTAATTAAGCTGATCTTCTACCACACTTTCCCTTCCTAACCTTTTGGAAACAATGCGTTTTGCTGCATCAACAAATTAACCGCAACTCCGAGGCTGGTTTCCGTGTAATGTACGTGTCTCGGGGATCTGTTTTGAAGCATGAGAGGGGAGGGGTCCAGGATTCAGAGCAGACACACACACACACACACACACACCCCGGGATGCCAGCCGTCCCTTTTTTCTCTCTTTTCGTGACCTATTTCGGCAGATAAATATTGTCATCCGGAGGGGCATCAAATTCCAGCAATGGCTGCGAACTGGAAAGAAGACGATGCAGGGAGATTTACAAGCTATCGATCCCAGGGAGGAGATTTATCTGGAGGTGCAAATTGGGAAGAGTTGCACCTGGCAAGGAGTTTGGGGCTTTAAAGCGGGGTCCCAAAAAGCAGGGGAGAAAAAGCAGACCCCTCCCTTACAACGTTGCCAGGAAAAACCTGGGAGAGAAGGCAATAAGTGTAGTCCTTGACTTACAACACTTCGTTTAGTGACCGTTCAAACTGACAACGGCACTGAAAAAAGGGACTCGTGACCATTTTTCACACTTACGACCATTGCAGCATCCCAGTGGACACGTGACTTACAAGCAGATGCTTGGTAACTGACGGCCGCAGCATCCTGGGTGTGTGTATGTGCGTGTGTCATGGGATCCCCTTTTGTGACCTTCTGACAAGCAAAGTCCATCGGGAGAAGCCAGATTCACTAACAACCGAGTTACTGATTTAACCGCCGCAGTGCTCCGCTTAACAAATGTGGCAAAATGAGACAAAACTCACTTCCTTGTGTCCTCAGGGTCAGCTGAGTAGTGCAAACGGGTGTGTAGCCTTCTTGGTGTAGGATGTTTTCTGCCCTAGGTCCCTTCGCTGTGGGCAAGGCTCCAAGTGGCCTCAACGACTCTCGAGAGTAATGCAAATGACCAGCAGTCTGCAAGGAGTATAAATCCTTCCACTTCCCACCATCCAGGCGGAGCTGAAGAAGCTTCTGGGATGAGAAGCGAAACGTCTTCAGAGGAAAACAAGGAAGTCCAGTGGCCTCGTGAAAAAGCATCTTTGGGACAACCGTGTCCTGGATGACGGAGAATCTCCATAGACATTTAGCTACACCCTTTGGGGTGAACCCCCTTCGAATGGGGAATGGAAGGATTTATACTCCAGCTGGTCATTTGCCTTTTTTGAAAAAGTCTACAGCAGTGATGGCGAACCTTTTAGAGACCCGAGTGCCCAAAAACTGGCCCCGCCCCTGCTCCACCCCCTGCCCCGCCCCCCACCTCCCCACAGGGCCATTCACCGCCTCCAGGGCCCGCCGCAGATTGCCCAGGCAGCCCAGCAGCGCCATGGCGGCCACGCCCTCTGCATCAACTGTGCATGATGGGGCGTGAGGCCAGATTCTCTTCTATGCTGCCTGGCTGCCATGTTCTTGGCTGCGCTGCTCTGCATGGGCCACGCTCGGGGGGTGACTCTCCTCCAGGGGGGCCTGCTGGTGAGGCAGGGGTCACGGGGGGAGGCGAGGCTGGGGCAACGGCACGTGTGCCCACAGAGAGGGCTCCGAGTGCCGCCTCTGGCACGCGTGCCGTAGGTTCGCCACCACTGGTCTACAGGAACCATTTACACTTCAGTTTGAGATTCAGACAACGCAGACTCATCCCCAACAGCCTGGGAAGGGGCCCAGGGCAGACAACATCCTGCAGCCAAGAAAGCCCCACACCCATTTGCACCACTCAGGTGACCTGAGGACACAGGTAAGCCTCCAAGTGGCCTCAACGACTCTCTAAAAGAATTCATATGCCCAGCTTCTGCAAAGAGTATCAATCCTTCCCTTCCCCACCATCCAGTCAGAGCTGAAGAAGCTTCTCGGATAAGAAGCAAAACATCTTCAAACAGAAACAAAGAAGTCCAGTTGCCTTTTGAAAAAACACCTTTGGACGTGGAGTCTCTTCCTCCACTTCTGCCTAACTATCAGAAAAATAAATAAAAAAATCCAGCAAGGACTTGATAAAGATGTAGGGAGGAGCCACATCTCCCTGGCTTCCTGCTCTCTTAAGCCCAACAAGCTCAGATGATCCAAGATCCCTTCCCCCGCAAGGAGTTGGTCCTAGTAAGTTGAGGTGCTGTTTTGGGGCGAGGGCTGCTCCTTGGGGGGGGCTAATGACTGAAGTTTCCACTTTGCTGCAGCCAAGCGCACCACCGCGGAGACCACCCCTGCCCAAGATTCATCGCTCCGCCAGGCCCGTGAGTAGAAGGCCACTTTGCCTGCCTCTAACCCTTGCGCGCTCCTTCGCCTTACTAAAAACGGCTGGCTGGGCTTTGGCACACTCACAACCAACCAACGCAGGGACGGTCGGCCTCCCGCTCGGTCAAGCTGAAGTAGGTTCTAGGTCAGTGGTGGCGAACCTGTGGCACGCGTGCCAGAGGCGGCACTCAGAGCCCTCTTTGTGGGCACGCGCGCCATGCCCCAGAGATGGCAACCGTCCCTCTTCAACCAACCGCCCATTAACTGGCTGAGGTCCCACGTGGCCGGATGCATCCCAGCACGGCTGGTTTCCCTCCCCTCCGTCCCATCCCTCCTGGCCTCGCGTGCTCTTCCCGGGCACGACCCACTGCATCGCCTCCTCAGCTGTTGGCCGGCTGTCCAGCTCAGAGGCGGCTTCTCTGAACTGCTGGTGGCGGGCTGCGGAGCCCCAGAGCGTGCCGATCGAGGGGCCGGCAGGCTGTGGCTGCTGACGGACACTGTTGCCCCCCATGTGCTCTCTGGCCTCCCTGTGCAGGGGCTGATGGTGTCAGGCAGTAGCCACCCCGGTCTCTGCCTCGCCTTGCCCTGTGACAATGGCACTCCCGCCCTGCCCCACCTTGCCTCGCCTCACCCCACAGGACGAGCCTTCTGCCCACCACCCCACCTGCCAGAGACCCCCTGCATCTCCCCCAACCCTGCCCGGCCCTCACAGGCATCCCTCCCCACGAGCAACATCAAGGTGACCATGCCCACCTTGTCCACGCCCAACCAGTCTGCCATGACCACCACAGCCACGCCAACCCAGTGGGCCATGCCCACTTGGCACCCGGCGATAAATAAGTGGGTTTGGGGTTGCAGTTTGGGCACTCGGTCTCTAAAAGGTTCGCCATCACTGGAATAGGTTCTGCTTTCTCTCTTTTGGAGCGGCTCTCGCTCCTTGTGGGTCTTTCCTTCACTCTGGATTATTTTCTTCTCTGCAAAGCCTCAGCGGTTTTTACTCAAGTGTTGCCAAAGCTTGCAAAGTGAGGACTGGGTACAAGGAGGAGAAGGCCCTCTTCGTAGAAGGCGTCTGTGGTGAACCGTGTTGCTTTTTCTTCTTTGTTTCGATGGAAACTTCAACTCCCAGAATTCCTGAGCCAGCGTGGGGGAACTATGGCCCCCTCATGACTCGTGGACTTCAACTCCCAGAATTCCTGAGCCAGCATGGCTCAGCTTGGAAACCTCTCCCTTTCCCCTCAGCATGGCTGGCTCAGGAATTCTGGGAGTTGAAGTCCACGAGTCGTAAAAGAGCCAAGGTTGCCTGCCTAGGCCTAGGCCGCTTCATGACTGGTGGACTTCAACTCCCAGAATTCCTGAGCCAGCATGGCTCAGCTAGGAAACCTCTCCCTTTCCCCTCAGCGTGGCTGGCTCAGGAATTCTGGGAGTTGAAGTCCACGAGTCATAAAAGAGCCAAGGTTGCCTGCCTAGGCCTAGGCCGCTTTATGACTTGTGGACTTCAACTCCCAGAATTCTTGAGCCAGCATGGCTCAGCTTGAAAACCTCTCCCTTTCCCCTCAGCGTGGCTGGCTCAGGAATTCTGGGAGTTGAAGTCCACCAGTCATAAAAGAGCCAGACCGTCATAAAAGACCTATACCATCTTGGCCATCTTGGAACCGGAGCCACAGAATTTGCCTTCTTCCGACTCCATAAGGCCATGCCCCCGGGCAGCTATTGCCAACCTGGTGCCCTCCAGATGCGCCTCAAATTACCGCATAAGTATTATCCTCCCAACATCTGGAGGAGGCAACAAGCCGGAAGAGATTTTTCACCAAGGATGTGAGAATGGAACAGATGAGATAGCAACGAAGTACTGAAGCGGCTGCAAGGAGACTTGGGTTAATTATTCTCGTCTGACTTTCTTTCTAAAACACACTCCTTATAATATTTGTCCAGGATCTTCGGTGGACCAAAATGTGCGGCCTTTTTTTCCCCTCCTAGTTTGCTTGTTTCCCGCAGCAAGAGAAGGAACTGGACCCAGTTGCTTTCTTTCCATCGTCGCATTCCTTCCTTAAAAGCAGGATGGAGAAAAATCACGGACGGAGATGCTCATCTGTCCAGCGGTGCGTGGTGTGGGAGTTTCATGGCTGTCCACCCTCTGGCACCTTCCTAAGCCTTGCCCGCTTGCTCTTAACGTCCAGCGTGCGCTCGCCAACTTTGCCTATTTAACCGTGGGTGTGCAGCTCCACACGTCATTGTTATGGATTTATGCGTTGATAATTTTCCTTCCTTCGTGTGCTGAAGATGGTGTTGATCACGTCTGTCTCAGTTGCTCAAACGCTTTGATTCTCTATCCCATTTTTCTGAGGGGTTTATTTCAACCTAAGGGGGGGGGGGAGAAATTGCATGTATTTGTTTTCTTTTCCACCCAGTAGATCTTCCTCAAGTGACTTTGGTTTGCAGCTAAAATGTTTTTGAGCAACCTTGTGGAACGGGCGTTGCCTCCAGAAGTCGTGGAGGCTCCATCACAGGGGGGTTTTGAGAAGAGAATATTCTGTATTCTGCTCCAAGTTGGGCAGAAGTAATAATGATGATGATGATGATGATGATGATGGAAGGGACCTTGGAAGCATGAACCCTATACCATTTCAGACAAATGGCTGTCCAGTCTCTTCTTGAAAACATCCATTGTTGGAGCACCCACAATTTCTTGAGGCAGGTTGTTCCACTGATTCATTGTTTCTCACTGTCGGGAAGTTTCTCCTTAGTTCTAGGTTGCTTCTCTCCTGGGTTAGTTTCCATCCGTTGCTTCTTGTCCTGCCTTCAGGGGCTTTGGAGAATAGCTTGACTCCCTCTTCTTTGGGGTAACCCCCAAGATACTGGAACATTGCTATCATGTCCCCCCTGGTCCTTCTCTTCATTAGACTAGATAGTCCCAATTCCAGCAACTGTTCCTTATATGTTTTAGCCTCCAGTCCCCTGATCATCTTTGTTGCTGTTCTCTGCACTCTTTCCAGAGTCTCAACATCATTTTTACATCGTGGTGACCAAAACTGGATGCAGTATTCCAAGTGTGGCCTTATCAAGGCATTATAAAGTGGTATTAATACTTCATGTGTTTCCATCCGTTGCTTCTTGTCCTGCCTTCAGCTGCTTTGGAGAATAGCTTGACTCCCTCTTCTTTGGGGAAGCCCCTGAGATACTGGAGGACTGCTATCATGTCCCCCTTAGTCCTTCTCTTCATTAAACTTGACACACCCAATTCCAGCAACTGTTCTTGGTATGTTTTAGACTCCAGTCCCCTGATCATCTTTGTTGCTCTTCTCAGCTCTCTTTTTAGTCTATTTGATCCAGCTGGTTTCAACCCTCAGCTTGGATGCCTTGGTCATCTTGACGTGTGATGGGTTATTTGGCCTTGTGGTCAACAGGATGGATCAAATTTAAGACCGAACCCTGGCATGGTGGAAGGAATGCTTGTAGCTGGTTGTGTGTCTTAACCAAGTCCCCTGAACAGATTGCATTTCTCCACCTGAGAATTCAAGTTTCTGAAAACGTACCTCTAGATCAATATTAGAACCACGATTCTTCATTAGTCACCGAGGTCCTCTTTGAGTCATCATGGGCCCCTGAGCCTCAGGTAGCCTGTTGTGACTGCGGTATTAGCTTCAGCATGCTCATGTAGCCTGGATACAATCCTTGGCTAATGTTATTATGACATCTGAGGTGCCAGTTGCCCAGGACTGGGCTGGAAGTTCAGAACCTTTGAATTGCAGCTGGTGCTTGCATCAAATGAGCACTCTTCAGCCTGGAGAGGAACTTAGAAGAGGCTAAAATCTATTTTTTTTAATGAAATTTAAAATATATATTAGAAGTGATATAATCACTCTGAGCCAGCCATGTGCGGCAGCAGCCAAAAAAGCTAACACAATCCTTGGTTGTATAAACAGAGGCATAGAATCAAGATCACGTGGAGTATTAGTACCGCTTTATAAAGCATTAATAAGGGCACACCTGGAATATTGCATCCAGATTTGGTCACCATATTACAAAAAAGATGTTGAGACTTTGAAAAAAAAATGCAAAGAAGGGCAACTAAGATGATTAAAGGCCTGGAGACTAAAACATATGAAGAACGGTTGCAGGAATTGGGTATATCTAGTTTAATGAAGAGAAGGACTACGGGTGACATGATAGCAGCCTTCCGGTATTTGAGGGGGCTGCCACAAAGAAGACTTACTTTCAACTTACTTTCCAAAGCATCAGAAGGCAGGACAAGAAACAATGGATGGAAACTAATGAAGGAGAAAAGCAACCTGGAATTAAGGAGAAACTTCCTAACAGTGAGGACAATCAACCAGTGGAACAGCTTGCCACCAGAAATCTGGGCGCTCCATCACTGGAGATTTTTAAGAAGAGACTGGACAGCCACTGGTCTGAGATGGCATAGGTTCTCCTGCTTGAGCAGCGGGCTGGACTAGAAGACCTCCAAGGTCCCTTCCAGCTCTATTTTGATTGGATAAGACTCCTGCTTGAGCAGGGGGCTGGACTAGAAGACCTCCAAGGTCCCTTCCAGCGCTATTTTGATTGGATAAGATTTAACCCTCTTGTCTTGGGCAGTGCACCTTTAAAATCCCACAGGGACGTGGCCTTTTTCTCACTCGCCCTCCTTCCAGAGGTCTTCCAAGCAATTTGGCATACACGTACATGCGCGCACGCGTACACACACACACACACACACACACACACACACACACACACACAGAGAGAGAGAGAGGCAGAGCCTTCGCCCCAGTGGTGGAATTGCCATCTCTGGCAGAAAGGTCCTCTCTCCGAGAAGGCCAACCCCGAAGGTGAAAGGGTTTGCAGCAAGTGACAAGCCGGCTTTAGGCTTAATTAAACAGTCTCTCCCCCGCCCGTCCCCGTCGCCCTTCCCTCCCAAGCTCGCTTCCTTTCCCCGCCTCCCCGCCCCGCTTCCTCCCTCTCCCCCCTCCCTCCCTCCCTCCCTCCCTGCGTTTTATCATCCCTAATGAAGCAGTCTTTTTCCATCCATCCTGCTGATTGCCAAGCCGTCTCCTTTGTTTGCTGGCACTCAGCCATGCAGCCCTGCTCTGACAGCCCAGCTCCTCTAATTAGCTCTGTTGTTCTTTTCCTCCGCCTTGCAAGTTCACAAGCGAAGAAGAAGAAGTTCCCGCAAACTTAATCCTGCCTTGCCTGCCATAAATTTCGCCACTCTTAAGCCTCATCTGGATGGGTGGGTGGGAGGGAATCAGCCTGTGTGTGTGTGTGTGCTGCACCTCTGTTGGTCTCGGAGGCTTCTGGCATCCGACCCCGTCCATCCCATGGGATGCATGACATTCGGTGTCTCTCCAGAGGACCTGTGGGTGCTCCCCTCCCCCTCTTCCTCCAGCCCTCATCCGTGGGGTGGGTTCCCCCTGGATACACAACCCCCAAGAAGTGGCCTTTGATGCCTGCCTAGAACGACCCTTGGCTTACTTGCAGGGCAAACCAAGGAGCCCCCCTCCCCTTCCTTTGGATAAAGATTCAACAGTCTCCCAGAATTCCTCACCCACCCCAGGTGAGGGGCAGGATTAAGGGGAAGGGTCCACGATTTGCCTCTGTTCAGATCAGCAGCATTGAAGAACGCTTCAAGAGGCACCAATGGCTTTCTCGGTCCCGGGGACAAAAACACAGGCCTATTTTTCTCGTTTTGCAAAAAAATAAATAAATCTGTGCAGTTTCTCCATTGGCAAAAAAAAAAATTTAAAAAAAGAATCTGGGCGCGTTTTCCCGTTTGGCAAAAAAAAAATAAATCTGAGCGCGTTTTCCCGTTTGGCAAAAAAGCCCCTGGGCGTATTTCCTGGTTTTGCAAAAAGCTGGGCATGTCGTCTCCTTTTGCAGGGAACTGGGAAACCGGCTTTGGGGTCACCCAGTAAGAGTCCCCCTGTGAAGACAGCAAGGTTGGGATAGCCCCTCCGTGGGGATGGAGGAGGGCACGGAGAGACGGGACGTCTTTATTTCCGTGAAGTAGTAGAAAAATTTTTCGGGAGTTGGTGGAGAACATTGGAGAGTCCAAGATTAACTTATTTTGGAGTCGAGTGGCATGCTGTTTCCCCAAATATAAGCCCTAACTGGAAAGTAAGCCCTAGCGTGATTTTTTTCAGAGTGCTCATAATATAAGCCCCAGATTAAAATTGTCAGCCAGACGGATGCATTTAGTACTATATTTCCCCCCAAATAAGACCCAATGTGTCTTTTGGAGCAAAAAAATAATCTAAGACCTGGTTTTATTTTCAGGGAAATTTGGGGAATTGAATTGAATTTCACTTCTAACCCTTAAAGCAGTGCTTCTCAACCTTTTTAATGCCGCGACCCCCAACCGGTCATAAGTCGAGGACTATTCAACCGGTCGTAAGTCGAGGACTACTCAACTGGTGCAGCACCGTTTGCAGAATGGGACTTTTGGCGGGCTCAGCAAGGCAGAGACAGCCTGGACAATTCCTATTGGCTTTTGAAAGCCAATAGAATTAGATTCTATTCAAGGGAGTCTATTCTATTAGCTTTCGAAAGCCAATGGAATAAAAGGGAGTAGCACAGCTAAGGAAAAGGGGGGGGGGGAAATGGCGGACTGCGTTGTTTGGCGACCCCCGTGAAATGGTCGTTCGACCCCAAATGGGGTCCTGACCCACAAGTTGAGAACCACTGCCTTAAAGAATCAGCATCCGAATAGAAAGGGATCTTGGAGGTCTTCTAGTCCAACCCTAGTCAAATAGGAGACCGTACACGTATATGACCCCATATGACAAAGATGAACAAGATTCATCTTTGCAGACTTTGAGGCACAGGCTCATTTCTGCTTTCTCCTTGCTTAGCTCTGTGCAGCTGCTTCGTTTCTCCTGCCCTTTCATTCATGCTTAAATAGGAAGCCTTTTCTCGTTTTGTTTTGTTTTTCCCTTATCTGTGGTGTCCTACTTAAAGTGTGATGGCTGGTACAGTGGAGGCGGCATCAAAATCTGGGATTTGGAGAGATTTCAGTTGCAGAGATGCCTGATACGAACTGAATTGCCTGCCCACACCTGGTGGATTGAAACCCAAGTTGATCGAATAGCACTGGGAATCATGAGTTGGATTCATGATTCACAGAGGACTCTTTGAACGTGACAATAATTTCTCCCAGAACTGGAGAAGACTGGGGCAAGGAGAAATGTTGGGGTTTTTTCCCCCTAATTCATGCATGAGGCTGTAGCCTGAAGGCATCTTAGGCCGGCTTTTGTATACCAATGGTAGCATTTGGGAGTTTGAAGGACTTCTCCACAGCTCCGGCCAATGTTCCAGTGGTGGGGGTGTCTGCAAGGAATGGCTTCCAAAGTAGAGATAGGAGCCTCACGGGTGTTGTGGCTCCCATCTTTACTTTCTGGACCTTACCCTGAAGATTAACCCTAGTCCTTGGGAGAAGTCCTACTCCAGCTGTCCATCTCTCAAAGTCACCTGCTGCTTCTGGTGCTGCTTCTGCCTTAGGCTCCTGGCCAACGAGGGCCTTCCATGAGCCCTCTGAATGTTTTTACATAGTGGCAGGGCTTGCGTTTGGCTTCTAAAAAGCCAAACACGTTGGTTCCGTGGCTTTGTCTAGACTGTAGTTCTTGTGGTCCAGGAAGGTATCTTGCCCAGAAAAGTTGCTCAGTGGATTTAGCAAAGGGTCGTGCCCTTTCCAGAAGAGTTGTGCTGAGTTCTTTGATTGGGGAAGGGGGTGCATCGTATCACTTCTCCACCTCACTTGTCTGAAATGGTGGAGGTTCTTCTGTTTGAGCAGGGGCTGGACTCCAAGATCCCTTTCTATTCTATCCCGTCCCATCCCATTCTTCTCTCCTCTCCTCTCCTCCCCTCCTCTCTTCTCTTCCCTTCCCTTCCTTTCCCTTCCCTTCCCTTCCATTTTCTATTCTATTCTATTCTATTCCATTCCATATTCTGTTCTGTGCTGTTCTGTTCTTCTATTTCTGATTCTATTCTATTTTCTATCTCCTATTCTATTCTATTCTATTCTATTCCATTCCATTCCATTCTCTATCCTAACCTATCCTATCCTATCCTATCTTCTATTCGGTTCTGTTCTGTTCTGTTCTATTCTATTCTATTCCTATTCTATTCTATCATTATTCTATTCTATCATTATTCTATTCTATTCTATTCTATTCTATCATTATTCTATTCTATCATTATTCTATTCTATTCTATTCTATTCCATTCCTATTCTATCCTATTCTATTCTATTTTATTCTATTCTATTCTATCATTATTCTATTCTATTCTACTCTATTCTATCCTATTCTTTCCTATTCTATTCTATTCTATTCTATTCTATTCTATTCTATCATTATTCTATTCTATTCTATTCTTTCCTATTCTATTCTATTCTATTCTATTCTATTCTATTCTATTCTATTCTATTCTTTTATTTCCGATTCTATTCTATATTCTATTCTATTCTATTCCATTCCATTCTGTTCCATTCTCTATCCTATCCTATCCTATCCTATCCTATCCTATCCTATCCTCTGTTCTATTCTATTCTATTCTATTCTATTCTATTCTATCATTATTCTATTCTATTCTACTCTATTCTATTCTATTCTGTTCTATTCTGTTCTATTCTGTTCTATTCTTTCCTATTCTATTCTATCATTATTCTATTCTATTCTTTTATTTCCGATTCTATTCTATTCCGTTCCGTTCCATTCTCTATCCTGTCCTATCCTATCCTATCCTATCCTATCCTATCCTATCCTATCCTGTCCTATTCTATTCTGTTCATGTCAGAATCACTGGTGCATCTCCACTTGGTGTCCAACAGGTTCGGCCGCCCAGACCCCAAGTTGTCCGAAGACCCAAAGGCAACGTTGCTGTGGACGGTCGAAGGATATCTGTCTCCAGCCCAGAGCAGTGAGTATTGACTCTCAGATTCCTCCTTCGGGAAAACTTGGTGGAACACGACTGCCCTCTGGTGGAGGAAACCAGGAGACCCTTTGTCCCATACTTCTGGGCACCTGGTCCTGTCTTCTCCTCTGAACGCCACGCTTGCAAAATGTAGGGTTAAAACTGAGAAATCTCCATGCACAAATAAGGACTCACTCAATAGGTGGATAAAAAGGCCAAGTCCAGTCTGGCTGTGGGGGACCAACCATATTAAGCAAGAAGGAAAACATCCTATTTTGCCCTAATAGGCCAGGATTTTGGTCCACCATGCAGCTTACGAGCCCAACTATACAATATTCCTGTTTTATTTTGCTGTCAGTTGTCAGCTGTGTTCTTTCTCCTTTCTGGTTTTTTTTGGGGGGGGATGGGAAAGGTTAGAGCAGTGGTTCTCAACCTTTTTAATGCCGTGACCCCCCCCCAACCGGTCGTAAATCGAGGACTACTCAACTGGTGCAGCACCGTTTGCAGAAGGGGACTTTTGGCGGGCTCAGCAGGGCAGAGACAGCCTGGACAATTCCTATTGGCTTTTGAAAGCCAATAGAATTAGACTCTATTCAAGAGAGTCTATTCTATTGGCTTTCAAAAGCCAATAGAATAAAAGGGAGTAGTACAGCTAAGGAAAAGGGGGGGAAAAATGGCGGACTGCGTTGTTTGGCGACCCCCGTGAAATGGTCGTTCGACCCCAAATGGGGTCCCAACCCACAGGTTGAGAACCACTGGGTTAGAGAGAGCGGTTCTGATTGAACGATGAAAAAAAGAGCAAGGAAGTGGGGAGTGCCCGAGCTTCCTTCGCACCAGCTCTTGCTGGGAAATAAAACTCCAGAAAGGAGACTTATAAGTGTGAGTCAGACTTCCCCCACGCCATGGATTTTACGATGATACCCGCAGTTGCTGTGCCAACCAACGGCCAATTGCTACTCACGGTCTCCTCCTTGGACAGCACGGAGAAACAGGTGGAGACGCTCATGGTGGGAAGCCGTAACCACGTGTCCAAATAGAAGATTTTGAACGTCTCATTATAAACATGCCAGCAATTTCCTGCCAATAAGTCATCCCAGGCAGAAATGGCCACAGAGAAAGATGATTCAATGTACTTATTTGGGGCAGATAGTGGAAAGTCTCCCATTTCCATCCTGGACAGGACAGTGGGGGAAAGATCTGACCTCTTTGGCTGATTTTGAGGTGGTGGCTTCATAGTTGGTGTTTCCTGGACCACCCAAGTCTCTGCAGGATAAGCCCTCCCCCCCCCACATACACACACACACACATCTTTTTGCCTCTCTGCAGACCTCCACAAGGCTCCGTTATCCGACCCACAAAGGGATCTGCAGAAAGTTGCTTGCTGCTTCTTCCAGTGTGAAACAAACAAGCTTGGCCCAAGGGAGCGAGGTGACAAAGCATCTCCCCTGTGCGCTTCATTTTTGGATGAGGGAGAACTTGGATAGTTGGGGGGGGGGGTTTTAAGCTGAGTCTGAAGGCTCCTGGCTGGGATTCCCAGGGGATCGAGCAACCCCTGGGGGGGGGGGGTTGCTGTGAAGGCGGTTTCATTTTTGCAGAAGAAAAACAATGCATAACAATGTCGGTTAAAGCATCAAGGCGGCGAGGCTGCTCTCCAGGGTCTTAGTCTGCACAGAGTCTCCAAAAGTCAAAACAATATAGAAACACGGTAACTACAGGAACCCACTTCGCCCCTCGGACCAAGACTCTTCCTCACCTCCTGCTTCTTTCTTGAAAAACAGAAAGGGCCTGCTCCCCACACTTGGTGTTAGGGAGACCAGAGAAGTTGCTCTGATAATATTCAGCCCCTTTTGGTCTTAGGGAGACCTCTTCTGCATCCTTGCAATGGAACACTGCAGCCAATTTTTGGTCACCATATTCCCGAAAAAGATGTTGAGGGTTTGGAGAAAATTCAGAGAAGAGCAATTAAGAGGATCCAAGACCTGGAGACTAAAACATACGAAGAACGGCTGCGGGATTTGGGTTTGGCTAGTCTAGAGAAAAGAAGAAATAAGGGAGACAGGATAGCTGTGTTCCAGTATTTGAGGGGCTGCCACAAAGAAAAGGGGGTCAACTTATTCTCCACAGCACCAGAAGGCAAGACAAGAAACAATGGTTGGAAACTGACCAAGGAGAGAAGCAACCTGGAATGAAGGAGAAACTTCCTAACAGTGAGGACAATTCACCAGTGGAACAAAAGTTGCCTTCAGAAATCGTGGGAGAAACTAGACAGTCATTTATCTGAAATGGTATAGGTTCTCCTGCTTGAGCAGGGGGCTGGACTGGAAGACCTCCAAGGTCCCTTCTAGTTCTATTCTTTTCTAAAGTTCCTAGTGGCTGTTTCTCCAGGGTTTGGAGGGAAGGTCCATCACCTATTTCTAAACTCCCTCAAACATCCTTTCCATGCTCTCTAGTTCACAGAAAACCTCTTGCTCAGTGTTTCTCAACCTTGACCATTTTAAGGCATGTGGACTTCAACTCCCAGAATTCCACAGCCAGCATTGGGATAATGCTGGGAGTTGAAGTCCACATGCCTTAAAATGGTCAAGGTTGAGAAACACTGCTCTAGCTGCTCCAGAGGAAACTTTTCTGGAGAAGGGATGGAGGGGGAAGACCCTCTCTATATTGTCCCACTGTTGGTGGATCTAGAGACCTTCTGTTAGTGCAAGAAGCATCTCTGTTGATCTCCCCGTCCTCCTTCAGAAGCGATCAGTTGGCCTTTCCCTCCTGTTTCTTGGCGAGGAAGAACACCATCTCAGCACTTCTCTTGATGTTCTCCTTGAACGTCTTCTACGTTCTAGGCTCAAGAGCCCGAGGAATACACGAGGGTTTTTCAGCACGTTCCCCTTTCGCTGGCCATAACAATTTTTTCCCCCAGGTCAAGAGGTTGTAGGGTTTAGGTCCTCCAGCTTGGCTCACTTGCAGGAGACATCTCTTCTTCCCAGCGTCTTTTTTTTCTTGTCTTTCTCCAGGTGGGCTGGCTGGGCCAAGGGTATCACCTGGGTGGCTAGGTCTTAAAGGGTGAGGGCAGGGCTTCCCAGCCCCCTTGTTCTAGGAAGGGGACCAGGTTTTAATGCAAGAGTTGAGGGTCACCAAAACCTACTGCTTATATCCACCAAATACTCACGCAAAAACCCCGTTTCGTAGAAGCGGCTTTTCCTGACAAAACCCCAACTGTTCACCCACTATTCTTCATTATTTTTATCCTCCTTTCTCTCTCTCTCTCTCTCTCTCTCTCTCTCTCTCTCTCTCTCTCTCTCTCTCTCTCTTTCTCGTTTTCTCCCCTCCTCCCTCTCATTTATCTGTCTTAAGTACATTTAGGTGTCAATTAAATTTGAAATATCTACATTTGTCAGCTCTTGGTTTTTGGCCAGCAGCAGGAGATGGCTGCGGATTTGTCCAGGCATCCTGACATATGTGGAGGGGGGAGGGAAGCCGGGGGGGGGAGCTTGGAAGCCCCCGAAATGCAGATTGTCCTCATTAAAACCGAAGCGCTGATCCTCCGAACGGGGAGACGGAACACATCCTCGGCTTTATGGTGCCGTGTTTCTGACATGATATTTAAAAAGGAACAGCTACGGGCTGTCACGGCTGTCAGGCGCCGGCACTAACCGGAGACAACATTAAACTAAACATTAGAAGGAGATCAGCAAGCCATCTGCACGGGAGCTCGGGGGGGGGGGGAGAAACACGAGGGCCCGTGCAGCCTTGCAGCCACGCAGAGCCTTGGGTTTGACGGACAGGCCGCCGTTCAGCCCCGGGCCCAGCCACCTTTCCACGTGACAGCTCTTTGTGTGTGCAAAACGTGAGCCGGTGGCGGGTGACAGCCGCTGGGAGACCGAAGCCACCGAATCAGGTTAATGAGGCTGCCTCGAGCTAAGAGGGGGGGTGGGTGGGAAAAAAATTAGCCCTGGACATTTTTGGGCACGCCTCCCTCCGGCTTTGAAGCACAACGGTGAGTTTTGCCCAAATCCAAACCCGGAGTCGGGGCATCGCCATTCCGAGGGAAGAGTTCCCACCCCCTCCCATTGGATGGAGTTGTGTGTGGTGGTGTTTAGCAAAAGGAGAAGTAGTTAACGTACAGGTAGTCCTCGACTCACCCCAGTTCATTTAGCGACGGTTCCAAGTTACAACGGCACTGAAAAAACTTAGGACCGTCGCGGCATCCCCAGGATCACGTGATCAAAATCCAGGCGCAACTGGTTCGTATTTATGACCTTAGCCGGGTCCTGGGGTCACGTGACCCCCTTTGGGGACCGTCTGACAAGCAAAGTCAAATGGGGGAGCCAAGCTTCATTTAACAACTCTGGCGAAGAAGAGTCGTAAAACGGGGCAAAACTCATTTGAGGAATGTCCCACTTAAGAACAGAAAGTTAGGGCTCCCTTGTGGCCGTGCGACAAGAACTACCTGGGGTTGTCGCTTCGTTAGGTGTGATTTTTTTTGTTGTTGTTGTTTTAATGGATTGGTTGGTACTCCTGAGAATTTGCAAATGGCAGCTTTGGAAAGATGTGGCCTGCAGTGCGATTCCTCCTCCTTTATCTTTGGGCGTAAAAGCCGCCTCTCACGAAACCCAGAAAGACAAGACCAGTTTTAAGAGAGATTCTTCAGTTCAACGTAGAGAAATCTAAAGTCTTACGCTCTTAATAGCAGTAACTGTGAGAGGGATCTTGGAGTCTTAGTGGACAATCAATTCAATATGAGCCAGCCGTGTGCGGCAGCAGACAAAAAAGCTAATGCAGTCCTAAGTTGCATTAACAAGATCACGTGAGGTACTAATAACTCTCTATAAAACCCTAGGAAGACCACACCTAGAGTATTGCAACCAGTTTTGGTCTCCAGACTATTAAAAAAAGACGTTGAGACTCTAAAAAAAGTGCAGAGAAGAGCGACAAAGATGATCAGGGGACCGGAGGCTAGAACATAGGAAGGACGGTTGCAGGAACTGGGCATGGCTAGTCTAGTGAAGTGAAGGACCAGGGGAGACATGACAGCAGTCTTCCAATATTTGAGGGGCTGTCACAGAGAGGAGGGGGTCAAGCTATTTTCCAAAGGACCTGAAGCCTAGACAAGGAACAACGGATGGAGACGGATCAAGGAGAGATTCAACCTAGAAATAAGGAGAAATCTCCTGACAGTGAGAACCATCAACCGATGGAACAGGAGTTGCCTTCAGACGTTGTGGGAGCTTCATCGCTGGAGGCTTCCAAGAAAAGACTGGACCGCCATCTGTCAGAAATGGCCTTGGGCAAGGAGGGTGGACTAGATGACCTACAAGGTCCCTCCCAACTCTTGTTAGTCTATTGTTCTGTTTTGTCTCCTGAGAATTGGTGGGGTGAGACTGGACTGCCATCGGTCAGAAACGATGTAGGGCAGGGGTCCCCAATCCTTGGTCCGTGGACCAGTACCGGGCAAACAAGCAAAGCCCCCCCCACAGGATGACGGCACACAAAACCACACACCCTCCAGGCTGCGGGAAAAAAATCACATAACTGGTCCCTGGTGCCCAAAAGGTTGGGGACCTCTGGTGTAGGGTCTTCCTGCTTGCGCCCTGGGAGGGTTGGACTAGATGACCTACAAGGTCCCTCCTGACTCTGTTATTCCATTCTATGTTCCATGGCAAAGGTCAAAGCACAGGGCCAACTAAAGGCTCTCCCAAGTTGGCCACCTACCTTCTTCCAAGATTTTTCCTTGCCCAAGAGGCTGGATCTTTTTCTCCTCCAATGTTGACTGCTGTAGTTTGGCTTCCTTTTCCCTCCGCAGGTTTGATCCGTCGATATCATCTTTCTCTCCTCTTCCTGTCTCCTTCAGCCTGGTCAAGCCCACGCGCCACTATACGGTCTTCCTGTTGGAGGATTCTTCCGGCGATGAGCTTCCTCAGGACGATGGGCCTGTCTCTGCCTTCTCTGACAGCTTCCTCTTCTCCGCGCCTTTCGAATGGTCTCTGTCTTGACTATCGCTGTGGCTAGCCCTGCTTCCTTGCCGACCCGTCAGCCCTTCCCTTGCTTAGACGCTTCTGTGGCGGGTGTCATGTCTGTGTGCGCGCATGTCCCCCGCGTTAATAGACCCCTGGCCAACGAGCAAAGGCATTCTGGTTCCGGTCAAGGATTCTGGGAGATTTGCTCTTCTCCTCTGCTGGCTTGGGTTGGCGTTGGGTTTGCCATTCTCTGCACGGCTGTCTTGCTCGTTCCTGGCACCCTGGAGGGAAATAGCCAACTGCAAGCAGAAAACCACTGGGAGATGGGCCTGGGTGAGGCCTGGGGAGGGATGGAGGGAGAAGGGAGAAGATTTGAGGGGCTGCCACAAAGAAGAGGGGGTCAAATTGTTCTCCAAAGCACCAGAGGACAGGAAAGAAAGCAATGGATGGAAACTGATCAAGGAGAGAAGCAACCTGGAATTAAGGAGAAACTTCCTGACAGTGAGGACAATCAACCAGTGGAACAGCTTGCCACCAAAAATCATGGACGCTCCATCACTGCAGTTTTTAAAGAAGAGACTAGACAGTCACTTGTCTGAGATGGTATAGGGCAGGGGTACACAACCTTGGCTCTTTTATGACTGGTGGACTCCAACTCCCAGAATTCCTGAGCCAGCCACGCTAAGGGGAAAGGGAGAGGTTTCCAAGCTGAGCCATGCTGGTTCAGGAATTCTGGGAGTTATAAAAGAGCCAAGGTTGCCTACCCCTGGTATAGATTCTCCTGCTTGAGCAGGGGACTGGACTAGAAGACCTCCAAGGTCCCTTCCAGCTCCTATCCTATCCTGTCCTGTTCTATCCTATTCCATTCCATATTCTATTCTATTCTATTCTGTTCTAATTTTCTATTCTATTCTATCCCATCCCATCCCATCCCATTCCATATTCTATTCTATTTTCTATTCCATTCCATATTCTGTTCTGTTCCGTTCCATTCCTTTCCATATTCTATTCTATTCTATTCTATTCTATTCTATTCTATTCTATTCTAATCTAATCTAATCTAATCTAATTTTCTGTTCTAGTCTATTCTAATTTCTAGTCTATTCTATTCTAATTTTCTATTCTAATTTTCTATTCTAATTTCTATTCTAATTTTCTATTCTAATTTTCTATTCTATTCTAATTTCTATTCTATTCTAATTTCTATCCTATCCTATCCTATCCTATTCCATATTCTATTCTATTCTATTCTATTCTATTCTATTTATTCTATTCTATTCTTTATTCTATTCTATTCCATTCCATTCCATATTCTATTCTATTCTGTTCTGTTCTGTTCTATCCTCTCTGCATGGAAGGGAGTCAACCCCTCTTTGAGTGGGTTGGTTGAAGGGCAGCCAGGCTTGAAGTAGGGATCGGCGGTTAGAAGCATCTCCGGGAAAAATGACCCAGGGAATTTGAAGCTCTCCAGTGTCAATGCCCCTCTGGATGTGGTTGGACAACTTGCCTAGTGCACGGGAGAATCCAAACCATGGTGTGACTTATGTCTTTATCTGCCCCAAAACTTGCCTTCTCTGCTAATGAACTATTCCATGGGTTGAGGCACCAGAGATGGTCAAGGCTTCTGCCCAGCTCTTTTCTGCTGCTTTTTTGGTGTTTCCTTCCACCTCCAGTCTCGTTTAAAGAGCTGGATGAATGCCAGTCAAACACCACCCTGGAGATTGTGTGAGTTCGGGGGTGTTAATTGGATTTGCCTTGCACTGCCATCCCCTCACCTAGGAGTGAGATGTGAATCCTAGGGTTTGAAGACTTGTCGGCTCCTTGCTCAGTCCTGTCTTCCTCCTAACAGACCATGCCATTCCTTCATGGAGGAGGCATTGCTTTAAGCATTGTGGATTGCTTAAGGATTCAAGAATCCAAGGTTTGTCTGGGATGGTCTATGTAGAGTCATCTGGAGCCAGAGGAAGACCTTCCCTCGTGGTCCTTCAGAGGCCCAGCATGACTCTTTGGCTCAGTAGGTTCTCATCTTGGATCTAGGAAGCCCATGTCTCATTTTGGTCACATCCGTACTTCATGCACCTTGGAGAGAGGAATTCTTTGGGCTTCCCAGGTCTTCAAAGTCCGGGTGTCTCATGCTGGCTAAGATTTCCCTCTCTCTTTGCCTTGACTGCACTTCTTGTTTCATTGGCTTTGCTGTGAGAAATGCATGCTTGACGTCATCCATCTGCAGCTGGGCTGTGTCTTATGTTGGGTTGAAAGCACTGAAAACCCCGGCAGAACACTGGTGTGATTTTGTGGTGTAAGCAACAGAGTCCTTGCTGAATTGCCCAAAGGTCTTATCAGGAGGCAATTGGACTTTCTTCCTTTTCTTTGAAGACGTTTCGCTTCTCATCCAAGAAGCTTCTTCAGCTCTGACTGGATGGTGGGGAAGGGAAGGATTTATACTCCTTTTAGAGAGTCGTTGAGGCCACTTGGAGGCTTATCTGTGTCCTCAGAGTCACCTGAGTGGTGCAAATGGGTGTGGAGCCTTCTTGGAACTGCTGAAAGAACTGTGTGGTAGACTGGAGATAGATGGTGGTTCAGTTTTGACCTAGATGGCCTCTTCGACCCCTCTTTCAAACCAGAAGTCCCCTCTGTCCAGAATGCAGACAGACCCTGATGGCACAGATGAACCTCCAGGTGCTTCAATGACTCTCTAAAAGAAGGCAAATGACCAGCTGTCTGCAAGGAGGATAAATCCTTCCCTTCCCCACCCTCCAGTCAGAGCTGAAGAAGCTTCTTGGATGAGAAGCGAAACGTCTTCAGAGGAAAACAAGGAAGTCCATTTGCCTCATGAAAAAAGCACCTATGGGTCAACCATGGTCTGGAGGACTGGAGGTCTCCATAGATATATATGCCTCACTCTTAATTTGTGTGGCCTTGGCCAAATGGAGCACACTTTGGCAACATCTCCGTGGGCTTCTCGCTGTCCTTAAGAGCCTCAACTGCTAGCTGGGAGATAATGTGGAATTGTCATTCATCGCACACCCATCTGGTCCTTCTGGCTTTCTCTGACCGTGAAGGATGTTGGTCGATTTCTCCAGAGGGATCTCCTCTCTGAATTGCCAACTCTTTTCCTTCTCACAGGCCTCAGCCCTATCGCGCTCTGAAGGAATCCGACAGTGGCGATGGGGAAGAAGGCATCAGTTCTGAGAGACTCCAGGATGACAGGCAGATGGACCCGACCACTCCAGAAAGCCCTGCAGACATTAGTCTACTGGAAGACCTCTTCACAGGACTGGAGGTGGAGTCACAGCCGCAGCCACTCAGCCAAGCCAGGAGCTTAGAAGATCTGAGGATTCCCAAAGAGGAAGAGGACCAGCAGGGCTCCTTCGATTATCAGGTATGGGACGTGGGTGGGAATGGCTGAGAACACCTGTTGGTACAGGTAGTCCTTCACTTCCAACCATAATTGGAACGAATGAAGGAGAATATGTGTAGCTCAGGGTTGACGAGGGGTCCTTGGTGCTCTCAGAGCTTGCTTGTTTTCTTGCAGACGTTTTGTTACTCAACTAGGAAACATCATCAGTGCTAGAAGGGAATGGACTTTAGGGAGGAGGAGAGAGGAGGAGGAAGAGAACTCAAGTGGTCCTTGGTGCTCTCTGAGCTTGCTTGTTTTCTTGCAGATGTTTCATTACCCAACTAGGAAGATCATCAGTGCTAGAAGGGACTGGGGTTTCCAAAGAGGGGAGGAGGAGGAGGAGGAGGAGGAGGAGGAGGAGGAGGAGGAGGACAACTGTGGTGCTCTCTGAGCTTGCTTGTTTTCTTGCAAACAAAGGGAGAGGTTTCCAAGCTGAGCCATGCTGGCTCAGGAATTCTACGAGTTGAAGTCCACAAGTCATAAAAGAGCCAAGGTTGCCTAGCCCTGCCCAAATGCCTGAATTTTGATCACGTGACCGTGAGGAAAAAATATTTAAACCAGGGGTCTTCAAATTTGGCTCTTTTATGACTCATGGACTTCAACTCCCAGAATTCCTGAGCCGGCATGGGGGAACTATGGCCCCTTTATGACTCACGGACTTCAACTCCCAGAATTCCTGAGCCAGCATGGCTCAGCTTGGAAACCTTTCCCTTTCCCCTCAGCATGGCTGGCTCAGGAATTCTGGGAGTTGAAGTCCACGAGTCATGAGGGGGCCATAGTTCCCCCACGCTGGCTCAGGAATTCTGGGAGTTGAAGTCCACGAGTGATGAGGGGGCCATAGTTCCCCCACACTGGCTCAGGAGTTCTGGGAGTTGAAGTCCACGAGTCATAAAGGAGCCAAGGTTGCCTACCCCTGCCATAGACGTTTGGAGACAGATACCCATGATTTTTCTATTTTCTGACAGCGGATGGACCTCAGTTTTGCGGAAAAGAGCTGGACCACCCCAGGGATGAAGCTTTTTCACCCTTATAAGCAGTTCTGGGGCCAGGACGACATGGCCCTCTCCACAAAGTTCTCCCCCAAATCTCCCGAGAGGCCACTGAGAAACGTGCCTCCTGTCCCAAGGAGACCTCAGAGCAGAGAGGCCATCTTGGATGTTCCTGAGAAGGAAGTTGGAAGTTCTCCTGCTGCCCAAGGGAATATCACCATCCCGCGACCTCAGGGGAGGAAGACGCCAGAGCTGGGCATTGTCCCGCCTCCTCCACCCCGGCTTTCCAAGCAGCAGGCACCCCCAGAAGCTGCCCCTGGCCAGCCAGGGCCTGGCCACCTGGCCTCGGAGCTCCTGCAGGAGACCTTTGCGGCCAGAAACGTGTCTCTGGACCGGCAACTGGCCGGTTTTGCTCCTCACCAAGTCCAGCTTTCGTCCGGTGCCGTCAGTGAAGGAGAAATGCTCCAGCCGGTCAAGGTCAATGCAGAGGGCACGAGTGGAGACAGCGATTCTCTCCTTGCTCTGCTGGACCCACTGAAGTCACGAGAAGTTCCATCAAGCTCCAGAAGCCAGCTGGGGTCCTCGTCTCCCAGCCCAGCCGGCAGCTTCCCATCCACAGGAGAAGACCTCATGCCCTCTACGTCAGCCCCCTTTCGCCAGCTGCTGGGATACCCTCCCTCTGCGATGCCCTTTGGCCAGCCATCACTCAACCCCTTCGTCCAGGCGGTGCCGACGCCTCTGCCGCTCACCGTGGTCAGGCCCCCCGGCGGCCCATTTGCTCCCTCGCTGGGCCACGCGTACAGTTCCAGCTACATCACCTCTAACTCCAGCTTCTTCCAGCTCCAGAGGCCTCCCCCCAACCCTTTGACCCTCTCCATGCCCAACCTCTTTGCCAAGTCTCCCTCAGCCCCGCCGCCAGCAGCTCAGCCTCTTTCCCAGAGTGGCGCCCCTCGTCCGTGTGGCCCTTCTAAGATCCGGACATTGCCTCTTACTCATTCTGCGGTCAAGATAAAGCTGGCGGCGAGGCCCAGCAACCTCCCGTTGGTTCCCCCCAAGACCAAGGTTGGGGAACCGGCCTTGTGCCCCTCTAAGACTCAGCCGGCTAAGGACCCCTTTGAGGACTTGTTAAATAAAACCAAGCAAGAGGTGTCCGTCGTGCCCGGTAAAGTTGAGCAGTTAAGAAGGCAATGGGAAACGTTTGAGTGAGCCCCGGAGCTCATGGCGTCCTAGACTATTGGGTGTTGGGTTACTATAACCATGAGTATTTCCTCAAGCAAAGAAGGGTCAACTGGCTGGCACAGCTTCCCCCCTGTTAGGAGGGGGGCCTGGCTAAGCCCTGAATAAGAGCAAGGAGACCCCCCCCTCTTCACCTTTTCACCCACCGCCATCATTGGAGAGGTGATCTGGGCTCCTTGACATTCCTTTGACTGTTCTTCAAGATAATTGATGAGGTCAATCTTGGTCTCTTCTTGGCCAACCTTGCGTCCCCATTCATCATGAGCCTGTTACATTCCCAGTGTGAGCAATTGCTTCCCTACCAGATCACATTTTCAGCCCGGATGCCCAACCCCAAGCCATGTCGATCATGATCTGAACCTTGTCGGTTAATTTTTCTTGTACCTTCTCCAACTTACCATGAGCTGCACGGGTTCAAGACCTCATGCTGTCCTTGGCTTCCCTTCCTGGCCCCTCCAATTTCTGCGCACAACAGTCCCCTTTGCTGAGCAACCCCTTTTTCACACCCCAGGCTTAGCCTCCATGTGGTGGCACCGCACCATTTTTCAGGGAAGCAATGACACACATCTTCACGGCTGTCAACAACATTAGCACAACCAGCAGTCGTTCCTTTTTTAGAGCAAGGCACGTGATCATGGTGTCCCCAAACCCTTCTATAACTGTGCAGCTGTTACACAAACACGTATATGTGTAGTTATAAAAGTGTTACTCGGCGGTCTCCTTCCTCAGCCTGATGGGAGGATGGTGTGAGTGTCCATCTCTGCGGTGTCCTAGTCTAAAATGAAAGGTCTTGACGGACAGCAGCGTCAATCTGCTGCATGATGGAACAGAAATGGTGGTGGTGGTGGTGATAGACACAATGACCCGCTTGTGGACTAAATGCCTTTGGGCTTCATAAGTTGAAAGCCAGAAGACTTCTGACTGCTCGCTCTTCTTTCTCAACTCCTGCTGAAGATCAAGTTTCCCCTCCAGGCTGTTTTTGGAAGATAAAACATCCACCACGCCTCAGAATTCAGATCTGCTCAAGGACCTCTTGGTACACCTGCCTGTGTTTCTTTTCCTCACTTAAATTTGGGGCAGGGGAGTTTAAAAAAAAAATCCTGGGCAGTTTGTTGTTATCTTAAATTACTGTTGTGTGGAAATTAGGCTAGCCAGTTGTCTACATCCACAAGAACTCACTGCGTACAAGTCCCTCTTCAAGTGCCGTCTCTTTTTCTTTCCAATGGGTTTCATTTCTGTTTCTAGAACCCTCTTGAGGTTCTCCTACCAGCTGGAGAGTTATTTTGGCTTCCATCTCCACAACTGCAAAGCCTGTAGATTCCAAGGACGTGGTTGATTCCTCCAAACATGGATTGTCAGAGGACACCTGTAGACCGTCTGCTGGCATCATTACGCCTCTGTCCAAAACCGTTGCATTTTACAAGGCCCTTTCTGTGTTTTGTAGGATCACTTTTGCTGGGGGAGGGAAGGGGTGTGTTTTTGATATTACCTACTTCTGGAGAGTAAAACATTTGAAGTCCATCCAACAGGCGAGTGTTGCTTTGCTTCTTAAAAGTTTGGTATATGGAGTGCAAATGGAGTACCGATCTTCAGGCTGTGTTTGTGATTCACTATCTGGGCTGGGCTGGTGTTAGATCAGTCTTAACTCAGGGGTCTTCAAACTTGGCCCTTTTATGACCTTTTATGACATGTGCCTGGCTGAGAAATTCTGGGAGTTGAAGTCCACAAGTCATAAAAGGGCCAAGTTTGAAGACCCCTGGTCTAACTTGTCCCAAAGGTACTTTTTCAAGATTTCCTTGATTTTCTTTGAAGACGTTTCGCTAGTCTATCTTCATGTTCTGTCCACAAAGGTGCAATTAGAACAAAGTGTGAACACTCTACTGCTTTAGAATATGGCAGAGATTTAAACATGGGGGAGGGCTGTTTGCTGGAACAACCCATAATCTCATAGGTACAATTAGAACTTGTAAACCATCAATACAGCAGCTCAGGTGACAGGAAACCAGATGCAACTGAGAGAAGACATTGAAGATTACCTTGACATCTGGAGCATCTGGCTGGTAAGTCCTTCGTGACCACCACCAACCCCGTCCTTTTGGATAAATAAGCTATTCCGATAAGCCCATTTCTCTTTTTTCAAGAGGTAGTTTAGCCTACCTTCCATTTTGGACTCTTGGACAGCTCTTACCAAGTTGACCCGCTTGAAGATAAAGAGCCCAAATAATTTTTCTGTGTACGTTTTTTTTTTTTTTTAATTACAACCGGGATTACCAGGACGTGGGTTTCTTACATGTAATGTAAACAGAGGCTCCACCCGCGGCAAACCTTTTGTGAAAAAATAAACCCCAAATTTAAATATCAAAAGTAAGTTCACATTAGAAAACGGAACAAAAAAAATAAATAAAATGGCCCAAGGATTTTGTCTCTGGTGGATCCAATGGGGCTTACAGCAAGTAGAGGGAAGAATGGCTATTTCTTTGAAACGGCGGGCAAGCGTGTTGTGTGGTGTGACGGGAAATTAAATTGAAGCCCTTTGGCATGACGACGAGCCTTCAGAATACATCTAACCCAAGGAATCGGTGCATTGCGAGGTCCAGGTGAGTGAGTCAAGTGATGGTAAAGCTAAAACTAAAACTGATTTTCCAAAGCACCAGAAAGCAAGACAAAGAAACAACGGATGGAAACTTACCAAAGAGAGAAGCAACCTGGAATTAAGGAGAAACTTCCTAACAGTGAGGACAATTAACCAGTGGAACAGAAGTTGCCTCCAGATGTTGTGGGTGCGCCAACACTGGAGTTTTTTAAGAAGAGATTGGAGAACCATTTGTCTGAAATGGTACAGGATTTCCTGCCTGAGCAGGGGGTTGGACTGGATGACCTCCAAGGCCCCTTCCAGCTCTACTCTGACTCTAAATTTGCAGTAAATCTTGATGCCTTGAAATTTGTAGCCATTCTAGTCCCAGATAAACCTCTTTTAGGAGGGTTGGGTCATTACCAAGAGAGGCTGCAGGATCTCCAGTCAAAGATGATCTGCTGAATTTGGTTCTTTGCCGTCAATTTTCCAGGGGCTTCAAAGAAAGCTGGTCAAGCTGTTGTTGCTGATGCCTTGGCTGGTTGGGAAATGGGATGTTTTTTCCCCATCAAAGTTAGGGGGGGCATGATCTAGTTTGGCGTCTCCTTTGCCTGCGTTTTTACCCAGATTGTGAGATTCTCACCTTCTGAATGGTTGCCCGGGTCTTCAAGGGGAAATGCTGGAGTAATGAACAAGGAGCCTTGCAAGATACAAGGTCGACAAAGTGGGCCCTACTTTTCTTCGTTCTGTCTTGACCTTTCCTGTCTTTGGGAGAAGAGAGATAAGTTTCTCCTCTCCTGGGCTCACCATTTGTTGTTGTTGTTAATTGCGAAGTCGTGTCCCACGGAATTGTTCTGTAATTGGTGGGTAGAAACCAATCTGATGGCACATTTTTTTTCAGCCAGTACTTCCTTTGGTTCTTGATGAATTGTAATTACTACAGGTAACACTCCTACATCCAGTTTTGGTCACCACGATGTAAAAAAAAAATGTTGAGACTCTAGAAAGAGTACAGAGAAAAGCAACAAAGATGATCAGGGGACTGGAGGCTAAAACATATAAGGAAAGGCTGCTGGAATTGGGTATGTCTAGTTAATAAAGAGAAGGACGAGGGGGGACATGATAGCAGTGTTCCAGTATCTCAGGGGCTGCCCCAAAGAAGAAGGAGTCAAGCTATTTTCCAAGGAGCCTGAAGGCAGGACGAGAAGCAGTGGATGGAAACTCACCAAAGAGAGAACTGAGAACTAAGGAGAAACTTCCTGACAGTTAGAACAATTAACCAGTGGAACAACCTGCCTCCAGAAGCGGTGAATGCTCCAACACTGGAAGTTTTTAAGAAGAGACTGGACAGCCCTTTGTCTGAAATGGTATAGGGTTTCCTGCCTGAGCAGGGGGTTGGACTAGATGACCTCCAAGGTCCTTTCCAACTTTATTATTATTATCTATGTCTGAGATAGGGGTTGAAATACCACACTGGCCTCTTGGGGGAACAATTTCCTTTGGATTTGTACACCTGAAATATTCTCAACAGTGGTCCCACAACACGACCTCAGGAGGAACCCAACAGCTTTCTCCTTCTGCAGCCAGCTGTGGGAACCCACCCCTCCCCTGACTAAGCCAGGTTTAAATTTTAGGGTGTATGTAGTGTGTCTGAAAATATTTCTCCCTGTTCTTCGTAGTCATGGGCACGAACATGCCCACAGTTGTTAAGCCATAGCATGAGGTGTACTTTCTTCAATCGGGGTTCTGTGGTTGCTTCATGGAGGACAGGAGAAGAAGAGAGAGCAGAGGTGCCACCACATCTTTACATAGCTCCTTGGATGTCCTGTGGATGCATCAAGGAGGAAGGAGGGAAACAACGAAAGGGCTTATGTGTCAACCTGCACTAAGGAGGGGTCTTTGACAGCAAGAATTAAACTTCTATCTGCTACATTTCAGCGTAGAAATCTGAACTTTCTCTGGAAGAAGATAGCTCTTGTGTTCTTGGAGTGCAATCGTTCCTACGTGTATCGAAAATTATAACTGAAGGGCGGGGGGTGAAGTGAAGCTGAGGGGTCTTCAGTTAATGCTGTTTCAAGTGGTTTGTTTACAAGGCACTTTAGGATGCTGTATTGTACCTGAGGAGGTCACAGAAATTGGAGGTACTTGACTCTCTCCCAACGGGTAATGACAAGGAAATATTTGTTCTGTGGGAGACAGAGAGGATTTTGGACTTTTTGTGGTGTGTTATTGAGGTTAAACAGTTTTTGTTGCTCACCTCTTCTGTCTCGCAGCTGCTGGGGGACTAATGAATAGCGTGCCGTTTGTGTTGAGTTCCCCGTCACGAGCTGCTCAGCCTTTCACAGTCCAAAACAACACACTTCACCCAGTCCTGGAGCTTTTTCCTTCGTATCCTCACAGCTAGTTTACATTCAGCCATGCTGGATTGTTATGCAATACCAAAGCCCTACAGTTCTGAGCTTCTGGCCAACTGGTATGGCTGCAGGCACGGCCCAGAGGACATTGGTCCCTACAGTAGCTGGGGCACAGAGTTTGGACATAACTCTTATCAACTGGCCTTCAGCTTATCAGAGGCAGCGTTGACGTTCAGCATCTCAGCACACACCCTGTGGTCTCCTGGTGGCTTCATTTGTTGGCTTCTCAAGTAGTCCATTCCTTTATGGCCACACCTGAGATGTCTGATGTGGTGAGAAGCAGCTGAGTAGCTCCAACTGCTCCAAGAAGCATGGACCAACTGCTCCAAGAAGCATGGACCTACTGACATGGCCTCAGTGATGGCCACCAGGATAGGTCAAGATGTTCCTGACCATTTGGAGCAGCACTGGAGACGTTCCTTGTAAGCCTTGTCCATAACGTGGTCATTTATAACGGAGTACTGTTAATGAGATCCCCCTAGAGCTGTCCTATAGGCAATGCACCCATCTAATAATAGGCTTCAGATGTCAAAGGAAGTGCATTTGCCCAGCTATTGTATCTTTGTCGGGCCTCTTGTTCTAGCCAACCCTGACAATTTAGGAAGTCCTATCCCTACCTCTGAATCCTTCCTCCCAGGCCAAAAGCAGAACCATCACAACCCTCTTAAACCAGCAGGACCTGTGAGGACGTCCTACAACCCAACATGACCGCTTTGTAACCCACCCTGGAGGCCATCACAAAGATAGCCACCTTTAAACCACACCGAGGAGCGAAGCAGGGCTTCCATGCTGATTCTCTTGTAGGTTGGTTGATGCTCAGAAGTCTGTGGATGATCGTCCTTCTCACAGCAACTTGCCACGGCAGCCTGTTGGGTTGGAACAGCACCTCCAAGGCGGAGTGGGCAGGTGTAGTAGGATTGAGAAGCCAGCTGCTGCCACTGGCAGAGAGGAACCCACAAGGCAGACGTAACGGTCCTCACAGGTCCCAGATGCACAGGTGGGCAGCCACTCAATGGGCGTGTAACTCCACTGCCTTCCTGATCTTTTGGAAGGAGACGCGGAGATCTCTGCTCACACTCCCAAGTGCCAACTTTATGAAGTCCCCTCATTGCTTATATTAAACGTTCTTCTGGTGGGACTTTGAGTACATTGTCCATCTCTAGGCGAGCTCCAGCCACTTCCTGCTGGCTCGGGCTGTAGGTTCCCTCGGACTGGCGCCGCTTCCGGGCAGTGAGGACCATCAGGACAAGGATGATGACAAGAAGAAACAAACAGCTGCAGACAACCGGCACCGCCACTTCGACCAAGGGGAAAGGGAAGGCAGGGCCTGGGAGACCCCCTCTCTGCCAGAGAAATCAAGAAGGAGAAGATGAGCCTGGATAAACGTCCCTCAGCGGTCGTTGAAGGGGAGAACGAGGGGGAAGTCACGTGTGGCCCCCCCACCCCAGATGAACCCTGAGCAAATCACAGGAGCCTTCAACACCTGCCTCCAGAAGCGGTGAAGGCTCCAACTCTGGATGTTTTTAAGAAGAGACTGGACAGCCATCTGTCTGAAATGGTATAGGGTTTCCTGCCTGAGCAGGGGGTTGGACTAGGTGACCTCTAAGGTCCCTTCCAACTTTATTATTATTATTAACAACCTGCCTCCAGAAGCTGTGAATGCTCCAACACTGGAAGTTTTTAAGAAGGGACTGGACAGCCATTTGTCCGAAATAGTATGGGGTTTCCTGCCTGAGCAGGAGGTTGGACTAGATGACCTACAAGGTCTCTTCCAACTTTATTATTATTATTGTTGTTGTTATTGTTATCATTATCATTATTATTATTTTTAAGGGCCGTAAGTCACTTTTTTCAGTGCTGTAACTTTAAACGGTCAGCAAATTAACTGTTGTAAGTTGAGGACTTTCTGTGAACCCAGATCAACTTCAATGTACCATCCTGACCCTAAAGAGGCATCAAGACATAAAAGAGAATTCATCTTCCACCAAAAGCCACAGAGATAACACACGAGTTCTTTCCAGGCTACCCTCATGGGCTACCTAAAGCAGGGGTTCCCCAGCCCCCAGGACCGGTCCGTGGCATGCCAGCAACCAGGCCGCACAAACAAGCAAATCTCCATCTGTGAGATGCAGCCAGCACACAAAACCACGCACTCTCCGGTCCACGGAAAAAACTTCTCTCCACGGAACCGGTCCCTGGTGCCCAAAAGGTTGGAGAATGCTTACCTAAAGCCCCTTCTCAACATACACCTGCAGAAATTCTCTCCTACTGGCCAAGCTAACTCACAAAGCCATGTGAGGCTGGTGTAAGCCGTGCTAAAAATACCAGGGTGGAGACACCTGACAGCCTAGCACTCAAATAGAAACCAGGACAGGGAGAAGTATAAGTAGATAAGAAGTGGATTTTGAGCTATGCATCAAAAAAAATGCACAGATCTGGGACGCTCTACACCTGAGCAGGATCACTGCATTAAGGAGCCCTTTTGCGCAAGGACCTGGTCCACCAGCTTGGAAAATTGCCTTATTGTCCCCAAGGTGTTTTTTCAGGAGGCCACTGGACTTCTTTGTTTTTCTTTGAAGAGGTTTCGCTTCTCATCCCAGAAGCTTCTTCAGCTCTGACTGAATGGTGGGGAACGGGAGGATTTATACTCCTTGCAGACTGCTGGTCATTTGCATTCTTTGAGAGTCATTGAAGCCATTTGGAGGTTTATCTGTGTCCTCAGGGTCACCTGAGCAGTGCAAATCGGTGTGGAGCCTTCTTGGCACTGCCAAAAGGGCAGTGTTGTAGACTGGAGGTAGATGATGTCGTGTCCCTCCCCCTCTGTTGAGAGAGGGCTGTTCAATTTTGACCTAGGTGGCCTCTTTGACCCCTCTTTCAAACCAGCGGTCCTCTCTGTCCAGAATATGGACAGACCCTGATGGCACAGATGAACCTCCAGGTGCTTCAACGACTCTCTAAAAGAAGGCAAATGACCAGCTGTCTGCAAGGAGGATAAATCCTTCCCTTCCCCACCATCCAGTCAGAGCTGAAGAAGCTTCTTGGATGAGAAGTGAAACGTCTTCAAAGAAAAACAAGAGAGTCCAGTTGCCTCCTGAAAAAGCATCTTTGGGACAACCATGACTTGGAGGACGGAGAATCTCCATAGACATTGCCTCATTGTGTTTTTTTGTGTCTCCTCCACAGCTCTTTCCAGATCTTCGGACAGTCCTCGGGCCCTAATCTTTCACACTCTCTTTTCCCCGTGTCCCTTAAAACATTTTGAAGACCAGCATGAAACTAGAGGTAGTCTTCAACTTATAAGTTCCTTTAATGACCGTTCAAAGTTACAACAGCACTGGGAAAAGTGACTTATGGCCGTTTTTCACACTTACGACCTTTGTAGCATCCACGTGATCACGTGATCAAGATTCAGATGCTCGGCCCCTGACTCATACTTGTGACCGTTGCCTGGGGTCACAGGAGCCTCTTCTGTGACCTTCTGCCAAGCAAAGAATGGGGAATCTGGATTCCTTTAACGACCGTGTTACTCACTTATCAACTGCGGTGATTCACTTAATAACTGGTGAGAAAGGTCGTAAAATGGGGCAAAACTCGCTTAACACACGTCTCATTTAACAACAGAAATTTTGCGCTCAGGTTGTGGTTATAAGTCAAGGACTACCTGCACCAGACTTGATGATAGGTCAAGGACTTGTCTACATAACAAACGTTGGATGAAAAGTATCCATCCAAGTGTTGAGGGTGAGGAGGAATGCTTCACAACCTTCCCGGTTTAATCTTGGCTTAATCTAGGGAAAGATTGTTAACGCCTTTCCTGAGTCAAGTGTAGCGTGGAAACCCAACCCATTTTTCTGGTACCAAAAGAGAGACGCTTCCTTACGCTAACATCGCAATATTCTCCAGCGTAGTTGGCACCGCATATACACCAGAACCGATTCGTGGAGCGCTGACACGTCCCCCCGTTTTTGCAAGGGTTGGGGTCACAGTCACTGATGTTGATCTGGCATCTGGAAAGAAAATGAGGTAGGAATCAGCCACGCGACCTTAAGAGAAAGGAGGAGCAGGGTGAGGGTCAAAGAGGCCAAGTGGGTTTTAAAGAGTGAATCCTGGACAGTTGGGGAAGATGGAGAGCCAAAACCGTCATCGTACTTCTCTCCCGCGTAGCCGGTCTTGCAGCTGCAGTTGGCTCCCCAGGGGCCACTCGTACATTTTCCACCGTTCAAACAGGTGAAGTTCTTCCCACATTGTTCAGGAGGGAAGGGCCACCTGGAATTAGAAGAAGAATCTTGATTTAGAAACCAAACATTTACAGGCGTTCTTCAAGAAGTTGACTTATCAAGTTGCATCTACAGGGGAGAGAAGAGGAAATGGAGCTTTTAAAGGTCTTCAGGAAATGGCTTCTTCCAGAAAGTTCTTTGGTGAGCCATGGGACAATTTGTTTTACCCTGGCTGGTGGTCGTATCCTGCTCAGGTCTTCTAATGCCAGCAGCTACTAATAAAAAGGAGCTAAAAAGTTAAAGAGAAGGTCTTTTGGGGGAACTCCAGAAGACAGCTAGAAGCTGCTGAACTGGATTCAGCCCTTCAGCCCATATGACCTGTTTGTGGACAAAGGGCCTTCCCATCACCAGCTTCCACCAGTCCTACGTCCTCTCTGAATGTGCAAAGAGAGATTGCTATTCCCAGAAGTCTCCTGCACACCAAACCCAGGTTTTGAGATGGTAGTAAGCACTCTGTGTGTTCGTCAAGCTTCTGTGTAGCTCATTGTCTTCACCTCTGCTGTCTCACTATTTATGTCAGAGGTCTTCAAACCTGGCCCTTTTATGACTTGTGGACTTCAACTCCCAGAATTCCTCAGCCAGACACGCTGGCTGAGGAATTCTGGGAGTTGAAGTCCACAAGTCATAAAAGGGCCAAGTTTGAAGACCCCTGATTTATGTAGTCAGCAAGGTGATTGTCCTCCTGCACTGTTTGGAGGTTAAGATTGAGATGAAGTAGCTCCCTTATGGTCTGGTTGGAAAAAAGTCTAAGGAGATTCTCAATCTTTTCCACAAGGCAGCTGGATCTTTTCCTTGAAAGTTTGCTTCTCATCCAAGAAGGTTCTTCAGTTCTTGGATGAAGAATTCCTTGGATGAACTTCTTGAACTCAAAAACCAAGAAAGTCCAGTTGCCTTTTGGAAAAGCATGTTTGAGGCATCTGGTTGGAAAAGAAAATTGGGGTGAGGTTCCCATAGCTCCTACACCTTGGGCTGTGTCCCAACTCCAAGAAAGAGCGAGAAAAAATATCTCCAGAATTCTTATTCTTACCAGCCACACTTCCTACAGACTTACTCGCACAGAGGGCCAGAGTATTCCGGCGGGCATTTGCAGGTGTAGCTGTAGACTTCGTCCACACATATCCCTCCATTTTGGCACTGGTGCCTCACACAGTCATCTACATTGATGTGGCAACGCTTCCCAATGAAACCCTTATGACAGGTGCACTGGAAGTCTCCCACTAGGTCCACACACTCCCCGTGAAGACACGGGCTGGATTTGCAGTCATCCGTGTTGGTCTCACACAGTGGCCCTTCCCACTCAGGCTGGCAGGCACAACTGAAGGCATTGAAGAGGTCCAAGCAGGAGGCTGCATGATGACAGGGATTGGAAGAACAGATGTCTGCTCCTTGGCAGCCCAGAAGGATGGGCTTGCTGGTCACCTGCATGAATTGTTCCGGCTGTGGGTAAAGAAGCTGGCTGGCCAGGGGTAAAAACAGCCCCCCAATGTCTACATGTCCAAGGCAGCCCGTGAAGTTTTCAGCCAAGACAATCAACGTGTTGCTTTTTAAGAAATCCAGGCTGCCCGCATTGCCCAGGAGTGTTGTATTGGTGGAATCATCCAGTTGGAGGTGCCACCTTGATGAATAGGCTGAAGGCTCTTCCATGGTCAAAAAGAGGGTGTGCCAGGAGCCATCAGAGATGGGCATCGGCCTGAGAAAGTTTACTCCCTCAACGCCATTCCCACTCCGGATTTCAACCAGGAGCGAAGAGTTTTGAATAGCCACCAGAAGAGAATCTATTTCCTCTACGGCTCGTATCAAGACGGCGTCATCGTCCCGTGTCCTGAAGTCCAGGCGGAGGCTATGAAGAGCTTTGGTGACGGACATATTTGCTGTGAATTCAACTGCGTCACGCTCATCAAATGTGGCATTGGCCAGACCTGCGAGATGAAATGATAATCAAAGGTCAAGAGTGGAAGATTGTCCAGTGGAGACACCAAGGAACACTTCAATCATCTCCTCCAGGAAGTTAAAGGAAGAGGGAACACTCAAGTCAAAGACCTGTCTAAGGCCTTCAGAAGAAGTGAAATATTAAGCTGACCCAGATAGATCAGTCAAGCTCATTGAGAAGAGAAATCAATCAGAGGAAACATGAGATCGAACAAATGAAAGATCCTTGATGGCCAAAGGAGAACTAACAAGTGGACATGAATCAAATCTCCTGAGCTTCTTCTCAGAGAGAGAGACAGGTGGAAAAGCTCTTGTTTAAACTTAATTTAAATTCAAGAATTTCCTAAAAGGAGCTCTCCTGGAGTGGAAAACAGACTGTACAGGGGCTTACAAAGAAGAACGTTCAGGATTTGTGTCTGATCCCGTGACTTGGATTAAAAATGACCTACTGTAATTCTTCAAGCCATCTTTTTAAAGAATTAGCAGGCTGAGTGTAATGGGATCTACCACAGATTTGTACTAGGTTGAGAGCAGAAGGGTCTCCAGATTCTGTGTGACCCCCCCCCCTTTTTTTTTTTTTAAAGGACATTTCTGCAGTTGCCTGCAATTCCTGGAGGAACACTTACAAATATAACCAGAGGGGACATCCACGCAAGTGGTAGGCAGGGGACACAAATCGCTTTGGCACCAGACTTTCTCCTCACAACATTTTCCGGTAAAGTTGGGTGGGCAACTGCAGTTAAAGTCATTCCAGGTGACCGTACAGAGACCACTGTTGAGGCAAGGAGAAGACTGAAAGATAAAAAGAGACACGATCAGGAGAGGAAAGAAGTCCCTGTTTTATCTCTGGAAATGAATTGGAGCATGCAGTTGAATGCAAGTGGATTAAATGAGGGGTCTCCAACCTCGGCAACTGTACAACTTGTGGACTTCACCCACCCCACCCCAAGATTCCTCAAACAGCATGGCTAGCTGAGGAATTCTGGGAGTTGAAGTCCACTAGTCGTAAAGTTGTCAAGATTGGGGACCCCTGGGTTCAATGATTAAGAAAGCTGGGTCCTATAGCTGATCGTGGATGTAGAATTGCGGTATAACGACCTATCTACATCTTCTTTGTACTTCTTGGTACACCCAGATTTAATTTCTGTATGTACCTGCCCACCACCAGCCACTATCCAGTTTTCTATCATTTGATTTCTCTGCACCACACAGAATTTTGAACATTGGTGAGGCACCACGCTCCTTCATGCTCCTTTTCTCCACAAGACTTGCAGCCTTTGAAGGCTAACCTTCCAGCAAAAGAGATTGAGTGTTGAGTGAGGTCTGATTAATTATTGAACAAGGTAGGAGGACTGGACTCAACCTGAACAAACCTCTTTCGCTGCTCAAATCAGGGGTGCTGTAGACAAGACACACCATCAACCCCCCTGCACATTGCACAAAACGTGATCCAGGCAATAGAATTCAGAACCTCAACCATTATAATTCCCATTTCTGGTGTCTCTAGCGTAGTGTTTCTCAGCCTTGGCAAGTTGAAGATGTGTATCCCAAAGAGGCCACTGGACTTTCTTGTTTTTCCATGGAAGACGTTTCACTTCTCATCCAAGAAGCTTCTTCAGCTCTGACTGGATGGTGGGGAATGGGAGGATTTATACTCCTTGCAGACTGCTGGTCATTTGCATTCTTTGAGAGGGTCGTTGAGGCCACCTGGAGGTTTAGCTATGTCCTCAGGGTCACCTGAGCGGTGCAAATGGGTGTGGAGCCTTCTTGGCACTGCTGAAAGGACAGTGTTGTAGACTGGAGATAGATGATGTTGTACCCCTCCCCCTCTGTTGAGAGAGGGTTGTTCAGTTTTGACCTAGATGGCCTCTTTGACCCCTCTTTCAAACCAGCCGGTCCTCTCTGTCCAGAATGTGGACAGACCCTGATGGCACAGATGAACCTCCAGGTGCTTCAATGACTCTCTAAAAGAAGGCAAATGACCAGCTGTCTGCAAGGAGTATAAATCCTTCCATTCCCTGTTCCTTCCCTGTTGGAGACGGGCGCAGGCTGTTGGGGAAGAGTCTGGGTGGTCTGCATCTCAAACTGAACCGCAAACAGTTCCTGCCAGCTGAAATGTTTTCTGGAAATCCATTCGGGAGTATGTAAGGAATATTTAAATCCTTCCATTCTTCACCCTCTAGTCGGAGCTGAAGAAGCTTCTTGGATGAGAAGCGAAACATCTTCAAAGAAAAACCAGAAAGTCCAGTTGCCTCTTGAAAAAGCACCTTTGGGACAACCGTGAACCTGGAGGACTGAGAATCTGCATAGACTTTGAAGATGTGTGGACTTCCAACTCCCAGAATTTTGCCAAGATTGAGGAATGTCGCTCTAGTCCCGTAGAACCATCCCCTGGCAAGATTGAAAGACCCACTGTCAGCGCTGCAAATATTGTATATTCTTGCTTTGACAATATACAATATTTGCAGCGTTGACATCCACAAGGCATGCAGAGGAGGTGCTTCGTTGCAGCTGGAGATGCTTTTTTCCATAAACACAGCTTGGGGGAGACATCAATGGACATGTTGAAGATAAAGAGAAAATCCGTACCTCACCTTGCTGGCTCTCCTTAGCCTTGTTCTCCAGATCTTTCTCCTTTGGGCCGCATGAGAGGTAAGAACACAGCAAGGAAATGCTATATCTCTAGCAGCATCTAGGCTAGTCTCATCAGAGTTGGCCTATAACAGTGGTGGCGAACCTATGGCACAGGTGCCAGAGGTGGCACTCAAAGCTCTCTCTGTGGGCACCCGTGCCACCACTGCCAGCAGCTTCTGCAGGTCCATTAGGCTGCCACTGCCACCCGGACCAGAAGCCCCACCCAGCGCAAAGGAGGCGAAGCGGCCAGCTAGCAAGCTTGAGTAAAGGTAGTAGAGCACACCCACACCAAGCAAGCCAAAGGCCACCCTTAGCAGGAAAAGCCGGAACCCCATCGGTGCCATGGCCCCCCAGTCCCAGCTAGGATTGCGTGCCTCCTCCCCATCTATGCTGGGCCTCCTGCCCACCGCCCCACCCACCAGAGACTCCTTGGATCTCCCCAAACCCTGCCTGGCCCCCACAGGCATCCCCCCCATGAGCAACATCGAGGTGGCCATGCCCACCCCAGCCACGCCCACCCAGTCTGCCATGACAACTGCACCCATACCCACCCAGTGCCCCCCCAGGGCACCTCAATGCTGATGCGGCCCTGGCACTTTGCAATAAATAAGTGGGTTTTGGGTTGTGGTTTGGGCATTCGTCATGGTTCCAACTAATGAAACACTTCAAAGAACTTCCAGGCATGTTTATCCTAAAGCCTTTATTACCAGTGTTACAAACTGAAAGCACATCATGGAGGTTTATGCCAGAATCTGAATTCCACTTGCTGGCATCTAACTTTTCTTGCTAAACCCCTCCCTTATCTTGCAGTCACAAGTCACATCTTCCAATTAGCCCAGAGGGCAGAGATTCCCTTCCCTTCCTTTTCCCGGGCTTTTGTTATTTCCCCTCCCTTTTCTCTGTCCTCTGAACTAACTCTAAAAATACCAGACAGTTCTGCGTATTTTGTCAAAGCAAGAATATTCAATATTAGCAGCGTTGACACTCGCTTTCTAAAAGGTTCACCATTGCTGGTGTATAACCTCCAAAGCAGATTATAGCAGAAGCCGCCACCCCCCAGAGGCTTCCTGGATCGCATCTGCTGAAGCATTTCAGCGTGAAAGTGTGAGCCACTGCACAACACAACATGTCCTCTGACAAAGGTGCCACAGTCTTGTCCATGGGAGTCATGACACAAGGTGAGACTTAGCAGGTGGTTCTTCTGAGCTCTTAGTTTGCCTGCAATCATCAACCATTTGACGTCCCTCTACAATTTAAGAAGCTCTCAAGCTGTAATGCTACAAGTCAACTGGCCTCTGATCCACCCAGTGCATTGTTTCCATCCCACCCATAGAGATGTTTTCCCCACATTCAGCAACATCTCAGTACATCAGGAGGCCCTTGAAGCCTGGTTGGTCCTTACCTTGCAGGCATTATCTGACAGGCATTCTGGAACCACGTTCTGGTTTCGCCCCACATAAGCGTCCTGTGGAAAGCTGTCATTATCTGGAGGAGGGAAAAACTGCATCTGGCGGTGGTTGAGTTGGATGTCCTGCAGGCAGCCTTTAAAAGGTCCTCCCCAGGGGTCCAGGTTTTCTTGGTGGGGGAGCCCACCGACATGAACCTCAAGATTAGCGTCAAGAAGGCTGACGGCCAGATCTCCCAGCTCTTCTTCTCGGTTTAACAGGCTGGCCCGAGCAAGGCCCTCTTGGAAGGAGAGCACCACAAAGTGCCTGGTGCCATCGGCCAGATTTCCAGAAGATCCCACTGAAGCGGCAGATGGTGCCTCGATCTGGAGCTTCCCGTCCTTCAAATATACCGTAAGGAAAACATCGCTTCCGTTGCCGATCTGGAATATGAGGCCACTGGCCTTCCGTGTCCGGATAAAAAAGGAGAGGTTAAAATTTGGGCCGAGTCTGTCGGGAATCTCAAAGGTGGCAAAGCTAGAAGAATTGTCCTGGCCAAATGTTGCTGCAGGAGATTCTGGAAAAGAGAGAGAGAAAAGATTCCTAGTTCCAAGCCAAGAAAACCAACTACTACGGGTTTAACCGTCACATCTTTTGGGGGGGGGGGCTTTCAGAATGTCTTCTACTGGGGTGACAGTATTTCAGAAGACCACGGAGTTCTGGGCTCTAGGAATGTCTGGTATAATCTCTACATTTTGGGGGCTGAAGGCTAAAACACACGAAGAACGGTTGCAGGAATAGAGTATGTCTAGTTCAAGGAAAAGAAGAACTAGGGGTGACATGATCGCAGTCTTCCAATATCTGAGGGGCTGCCCCAGAGAAGAGGGGCTCAACCTCTTCTCCAAAAGTACCTGAAGGCAAGACAAGAAGCAACGGATGGAAACTAATCAACCCGGAATTAAGGAGAAACTTCCTGTGAGTGAGAACAATCAACCAGTGGAAGGGCTTGCCTCCAGAAGTTGTGGGTGCTCCATCACTGGAGGTCTTCAAGAAGACACTGGACAACCATTGGTCTGACATGGTATAGAGTTTCCTGCTTGAGCAGGGGGTTGGACTAGAAGACCTCCAAGGTCCCTTCCAACTCTGTTACATGAGGCCATTTGATGATTGTGGCACTTCCTTCTCTGTGTCTTCCTTCATCTTGGATAAGAACCCCAAACAAATTCCTGTTATTCTACCAAAACCAACCCTGCCTACCACTGGTTCCTATCGTTATTTCTGAAAATATTATTTTTATTTCTTACCCAACTTCCTGCTCTCTCAGGAAGGTCAATGGGAGCCCTGACAGGCTACTCACCATAGGCACAAGTGTGGCCTTCGTAAGGCCGAGAACAGCGACAATGGAAGTCCGTCCAGAAGTCAACGCACTGACCACCGTGGGAACAAGGCTGAGATTGACACCACTCCGTTCTCTTGCAGCCCAGCTGAAATCCAGGAAGCTGTAGCCCTTCGACCTTCTCGGGTAAGAATATTTTGGAGTCAATCTGCAAGTCTTCCAGGCAACCGGTGAATTGTCCTGTGCAGTTGATCATTAACGTCTCCTCAACGCCTCCAACATATATATTCAGAAATGAGGGCAAAAGAGAAACGGCTTTGGTCTCGCCAAGGGGATGGCTGAAGTGGCAGACGCCACCTTGGCAAGCTTCATGCCACAGTCTGAATTCAAGAGACTCTTGCAGAGAGACTTCTGCTTTGTGCCAGTGGCCATCATTCACCGGTGGTGCCTCCAGGGTGAAAGAGACATTGACCTCCTGGGTCAAGAGCATCACCTGTAGAAGGCCAGCGTAGAGTTCCAGAAGCAGATGCCCCGTTTGGTGGCCTCGGTAGAAAAGGAGGCCGTTGAGCAGGGTGGTCCGGAACCGGAGAGCCACACTGGCTCCACGACCACTTGTGTTCTTACCATCTGCAGAGGTGTTGATTAAGAGGTAGCCATTGTCTGTGAGCGAGAAGGTGGTTGGTGTGGAGCAAGTGGGCCCATAAAATCCAGGAGGACACTGGCACAGGTAGCCGTGGACCTCTGATTGGAAGGTGGGGACACACAATGCCCCATTTTGGCAGTTGTGAGTCTCGCACCCAGTGAGCTCCACAGAGCAGTTCTTCCCGCCCCAGGCTGTGCCATCTGGGTTGTGGGTGCAATGGCAGATATAGTCGGCGATGCTGTCTTCACAGATCCCTCCGTTTTCACAAGGGTGGTCTTGGCATTCGTCTATCTCATTGGCACACTCGGTCCCTGGCACAAAGAAAATGGGTGGGCAAGGAAGAGGGGAATGAGCTTCTGAGTTTGCACCACTATACACAACAAAGTATTTCTCTACACACCATTCAGACGAGTTTCACTTAGTCCTGGAAGGCTACGAATACGTCAGGCTAAACAGAGGTAGAGATCCTTAAGTATTTGACGACTGTTAAGCGCAGTGGTGGGATTCAAATGTGGGAACAACCGGTTCTCTTGTGTGGATGCCGCTTCCAGAAGTCCATTCTGGGCCTGGGCAACAAAAAATTAGCGGCCAGTTCTGCCAAACTGGTGCGAACCGGCTGAATCCCACCACTGGTTAAGAGTCCGTAGCCCCGATTAAGCAGCCTCTTCCAGCTCCTCACACACGTTCCCACTAATCCCCAAGAATGCTGGCCAGATAAACAAAGTTCTAGATTGTTGTATCTTAATAGCCTTACCCTTGTGCGCAGGAAGGAATTGGAATGCAACCAAACAGAATTTGCAGAACTTCCTATCCCCTGCACTGAAGTAGCTTGTAGCCAGTTAAAGATGGATAAGATAAGTGCAATCTTTTTCAACCTCACCAACTTTTAAGACACGTGGACTTCAACGCCAGGAATTGCATCGATAAATCCATGGCAGTGCAAAGCAGGAACAGCTAGAGAAGAGTCCCTGTCTCCATCTAGCAGCTCCTCTGAGCCCCCAAATCTCAGTCCCAAGTGGAATGAAGTGAGAGTTTGGTGCCATGGAATGTGTGAATGACCTTGGGGGAACGAGGGGAAAAGATGCTGCTTGGGGAATGGACAGACAAGAGGAAGCATAGCCCCCCCCCTCCTCCAACTTCATAATGGAAGAAGAAAGACACTCAGATGATCCTCCTTAACTTCTCAAGCTGTAAAAAGGACCCTGAGAGATTTGTATGGTCATTCTTGCAAGATTCTGAAATGTAGCTTTACAGTACAGTAGAATTAACTCACCTAGGTATGTTTTACCTGGAAGGGCAGGTGAATTGGAGGAGGCCAACTAGAAGCGTCTCTTCTTGTTCCCGGTGGACCTCCTTTCAGAAGGAGAGATGACGTTCCTGCTGCTAATAATTCTCATTCCGAAATAACCTTCTCTGAAGCTGCCACTGCTTCAACTGGGGTGGCAGTGGGGTTACCTCTGAGTCCTGCACTTCTAGCCAACATCAAATTAATCCCCACAGCCCTCTCGGGCTCCCTTGTTGGTGGCTAATTTCCCCTGGGAAACCATGTTTTGATTCCTCCTTTGTTTGCCGCGGTGGAGAAAACCTGTTGCTGCAGTGGCTTGCACCACGTCTGCCCTGATCAAGTCTCTTCACAACTGCCCTACACAAGGAAGCCAACTCATGTCATGGAAAGTAGCTAAGGGGCTACAGAATCGCTGGTCATTCCTCCTTCCAATCAGGCAGATTGAGCCATGGATGTTTTTTTGTTGAGAAGGAGCCTTCCACTCAATGCAACAGGCCAGCATTAAACCATAAAGCCGTAGAAGGGAGGAAACCCTCCATTAGGGCAGGTGCGATATTGCCTAAGCGGTGCTCCTTAGCCAACTCAACAAGGCTGGTCTTTCAGAACCTGGTAGCGATCCCATGCTCTCTTGGGAGCAGCGTCAACCCCCTCACCTTTCACGCAACCAGCAAAGAGTTGTGCAAGGCCACAAAATGTGGGCAACCAACAAGGGACACCTAAAAGAAGGACCTTTTTCCAAGTGTGGTCCTTTGAGTTTGAGAACATGGCAAACTTTGTGAGGGAACAACCGAGGAGCAACACACAATTACAGGTGCATAGCTAAATGTCTATGGAGAGTCTCGGTCAGTCATCCAGCTCACGGTTGTCCCAAAGGTGCTTTTTTCATGAGGCAACTGGACTTTTTGGGTTTGTTTGGGTTTTTTTTTTTTTTTGAAGATGTTTCGTTTCTCATTCAGATAAAAACACCGAAGAAAGAATGGAATGGAATGGAATGGAATAGAATAGAATAGAATAGAATAGAATAGAATAGAATAGAATAGAATAGAATAGAATAGAATAGAATATGGACTAGACTAGACTAGAATAGAATAGACTAGACTAGAATAGAATATAGCCTAGATTAACTAGACTAGACTAGACTAGACTAGACTAGACTAGACTAGAATAGAATAGAATAGAATAGAATAGAATATGGAATAGACTAAACTAGACTAGAAGAGAACAGAACAGAATGACTATAGACTAGACTAGAATAGATTAGAATAGAATAGAATAGAATATAGACTAGATTAGACTAGACTAGACTAGAATATGGACTGGACTAGACTAGAATAGAATAGAATATGGAATAGAATAGAATAGAATAGAATAGAATAGAATAGAATGACTATAGACTAGACTAGAACAGAACAGAAGAGAATATAATAGAATGTAGAATAGATTAGACTAGACTAGACTAGAATATGGACTAGGCTAGGCTAGGCTAGAATAGAAATAAGGAATAGAATAGAATAGAATAGAATAGAATAGAATAGAATAGAATAGGAGCTGGAAGGGACCTTGGAGGTCTTCCAGTCCAGCCCCCAGTTGCCTTGTGAAAAAAGCACCTTTGGGACACAATGACAGGGTTTTCATTCCTTGGATTCTTCCTTTGAGGGCTTCAAAGCCTTCTCTTCCACTGAGATATTTCTTTGCTTCAGCAAAGAATTCAAAGAAGAGCATCCATCCCCTTTTTACAGAAACGAGAATCTGCCGGAGGAGGAGGCATTTTTCTGCCGGCAAGAATAAAATAGGCTGGAATGTGCCAGGAAATATTTTACAATCCAGGTTTGTGGGAGGAAGGAGACTTGGAGGGAGGGGGGGGGCAGAAAGTCCTGGGAAGAAAGGGAGGAAAGGATGTTCTCTTTTGAAGAGGAGGCCAGCTTAAGTAAGTTCGGTCGCTAACTCCGGAATGGCCTTGGGTTTTCAAGGGCTGCTCCCTTTCCCCTGTGGGGGACACAAAAACCCCTGCAGCTAAAAAAGGAGTTTGTTGGATGTTAGGATCCAGGAGCTGCCACCCAGAGCAGAACAGCTTCCTCAAAGGAAAACTGCCAAGTTGCTAGGAGATCACCAAGGAAATCTCTCTCAACTCATTAATCCAGCGCATGCGCCCATCTGTATGCTGGGCATTCCTTCCCTTCAGCAGAGATAGGAGATCTTGATCCATCAGCATGCACCCCACCCCACTCCCTTTGGGGATAAGCAGTTGGGGTGGAGTGGAGAAAAGAAGGAAGGAGGGAGATAACGAAAAGGAAAGAAAAACAAACATAGCTAAAACTAGTTTATACCAACCTACTTCACTTATTACTCCATGCTTCTTCTTTTTTTTATCCTGGCTAACCATCTCTGCTTCTCCTACATTCTTCCTGCCTTGTTATCTTGGATTTCTTTATCTTAGAGGTCTGCTCCCCTCTCAGCCAAATTCCCTCTTTTTTTGTATATTTATTTTAGGAACCAATCCTTATCCATTCTCCTTCAGTGACTACCAAACCCCAATATGCTTCTGTGGTCATGCTATGGCCCATCAATTTTTCTGTTCAATCCTCCTTCATCCAGGTGGATGGCCTTGATGTGATTTTTTTTTTCTCGTTTAATGCATTTAAGAATTTATCCTGATTACCCAAACGCTCACTTTCACAAAACATACACAGCCCCCCCCCCTTTTGTTTGTATCTTTTTAGCAAACATTCATTGCTCCCAGAGATAATTACCCTTCTACAGTTTGCACATTTTAACATCTCAAACATTCTCCATAAAAGTTTCCCCTCTTCACTAAACATCCTAGCGAGATATTCTCCTTGTTCTTATTTTCAAGGTTATCAATCTTCTTTTGATGAAAAGGACCATTAGTGGGGCACACAGATCATTAGTCTGTCTATCTGTCTGTCTGTCTATCCACCTATATCTATGTCTGTCTGTCTATTTATCCATCTATATCTATGTCTGTCTATCTATTTATCCACCTATATCTATGTCTGTCTGTCTATCTATCTATCCACCTATATCTATATCTGTCTGTCTATTTATCCACCTATATCTATGTCTGTCTGTCTGTCTGTATCTGTCCACCTATATCTATCTATCCACCTATATCTATGTCTGTCTATCTATCTATCTATCTATCTATTTATCTATCTATCTATCTATCTATCTATCTATCTATCTATCTATCTATCCACCTATATCTATGTCTGTCTGTCTGTCTATCTATTTATTCACCTATATCTATGTCTGTCTGTCTATCTGTCCACCTATATCTATGTCTGTCTATCTATCTATCTATCTATCTATCTATCTATCTATCTATCTATCTATCTATCTATCTATCCACCTATATCTATGTCTGTCTGTCTATCTATCTATCTATCTATCTATCTATCTATCTATCTATCTATCTATCCACCTATATCTATGTCTGTCTGTCTGTCTGTATGTCTATTTATTCACCTATATCTATGTCTGTCTGTCTATCTGTCCACCTATATCTATGTTTGTCTATCTATCTATCTATCTATCTATCTATCTATCTATCTATCCATCCACCTATATCTATGTCTGTCTGTCTATTTATTCACCTATATCTATGTCTGTCTGTCTATCTGTCCACCTATATCTATGTCTGTCTGTCTGTCTATTTACCCACCTATATCTATGTCTGTCTGTCTGTCTGTCTATCTGTCTACCTATATCTATGTCTGTCTGTCTGTCTATCCACCTATATCTATGTCTGACTATCTATCCCTATCATCCTTCTCTCTCATCTCTCTCTCTCTCTCCATTCTAGCCATCCACCATATCTATCATCTATCTACAGTCTGTCTGTCTGTCTGTCTATGTTTATGTGTGTATGTGTGTGTCTGGGGGGGAGAAATTCTGCCTATCATTGTGGTGATGATGTTCACAACGTTCAGACATTGTGGGTGCTTCATCACCGGAGGTTTTTAAGAAGAGACTGGACAGCCCCTTGTCTGAAATGGTATAGGCTCTCCTGCTTGAGCAGGGGGCTGGACTAGAAGATCTCCAAGCTCCCTTCCAGCTCTATTCTGATTCTCATCTATGCACTCTTCCACCCTTATTGCACCTTCTTGCTTGGACACCTTAAGATAAATCTTGCTTCTTTAGGACATAATGGGGATATCCCCCCTCCCCAGGAGAGACACAATTTTCACAGTCTGGAGTTTTCTGCCAAAGGACTGGCCACAACAGTCTGGCGTGAAGAAGATCAACGTTCATTTCAGTGTGAAGCTGAACAGCTCTGCCCTCCAAGAGTTAGCAGAGACACACCCCCCACACACACAGAAAACCTTCCCAAGACAAGAAGCGTTGCCCACCGATCCGTACAGAACACTCACACACAGGAATCCACAGACCCACAACCACACAGAAAGAGCCGGGGTTGCTAAGGACGTCAGTCATTACCTGCTAGCAGATGACAAAATCCACCCAGGACGATGGCAGCCAGCAAAAAGTTCATGGCCGTTCCCCTGCCGGCATGGGTCGTGGTCCCAAGAGGAAATGTGGGAAGGGCTCAGACTGAGCTGGATAGGACCGGAACACGGTTTGTTTGATTCCTGGGTGCCAGGCACACACCGGGCCTCTTCGGAGATGAAGGCCAAGCGCAAAACAAGGGCTGTTGCCGCTGCTGCTCGGATCTAATCCATCTCAGCTCTAAATCTTCCCAGCTGGCTTCTATCCCAGCTGACAAGTTGTTTGCTTACCGCCTCCAACTGGAGTGGGAGAGGGTCCTACGCAGGACAGCCTGCTGGATCTGGTTGCCCTCCCTTCCCTCTCATTGCTGGCGATGGAAGAGGAGCCCGGATGCCCATTTTAGCAGCACGGTAGTGAGTGGGCTTCCTGAAGCCAGCCCATTGGGAAGACTATCCTTAGCAGGGCCAACTAAATCAGTCCAGTGTTTGACTTCATACTATCAAGCTGGACCCTACAGTGGCCCTTCCTGTTGATGTTGAGTCCTTGGAGGAAGTTCAGAAGAAAAGCAACTAAGATGACTAAAGGTCTGGAGACTAAAACATACCAGCTGCAGGACTTGGGAATGGCCAGTCTAGATAAAAGAAAGGACTAAGGGTGACATGATAACAGCATTCCAGTGTTTGAGGGGCTGCCACAAAGAGGAGGGGGGGGGGTCAATTTATTTTCCAAAGCACCAGAGGGCAGGACAAGAAACCTCAAACATAATCAAGGAGAGAAGCAACCTGGAACTTCCTAACAGTGAGAACAATCAACCAGTGGAACAGCTTGCCACCAGAAGTTGCGGGTGCTCCATCACTGGAGGCTTTTAAGAAGAGACTGGTCAGCCCCTTTTCTGAAATGGTCTAGGGTCTCCTGCTTGAGCAGGGGGCTGGGCTAGAAGACCTCTAAGGTCCCTTCCAGCTCTCTTCTGATTGATTGATTGATTCCTCTTAGAAGGATGCAAGTGTTGCCCCACAGCCATCCTTTCCCATCAGAAGAGTTACCACCATCAAGGATTGGCCCAGATTCTCTAAACCACGGTTTCTCAACCTTGGCAACTTTGTGGACTTCAACTCCCAGATTCCCCAGCTGGTATGAGAATTGCCAAGGTGGCTCTCTACACTTCCTTGATGAACGTTCAGAATTAACTGAATGGAGAAACAATCAAGTCTATCTCTTCCTACCACCCAATGGCGATCCCTAAAAGATCCTGCTGATAGGAGCATCCACTAATGTAGGTAGTCCTTGTTTAGCAACCATTCGCAGTTACGACAGTGATGAGGAACTACCTGGCTCAATAGTAGCAACTGTGAGAGAGACCTCAGAGTCCTAGTGGACAATCCTTTGAATAGGAGCCAGCAGTGTGCTGCAACTGCCGAAAAAGCCAACACGGTGCTAGGCTGCATTAACAGAGGGATAGAATCAAGATCACATGAAGGGTTAATACCACTTTACAAGGCCTTGGTAAGGCCACTCTTGGAATTCTGCACCCAGTTTGGGTCACCACGATGTAAAAAAGATGTTGAGACTCTAGAAAGAGTGCAGAGAAGAGCAACAAAGATGATCAGGGGACTGGAGGCTAAAGCATATGAGGAACAGTTGCTGGAATTGGGTATGTCTAGTTTAACGAAGAGAAGAATAAGGGGGGACATGATAGCAGTGTTCCAGTATTTCATGGGCTGCCCCAAAGAAGAGGGAGTCAAGCTATTCTCCAAAGCGCCTGAAGGCAGGATAAGAAGCAATGGGTGGAAACTAATCAAGGAGAGAAGCAACCTAGAACTAAGGAGAAACTTCCTGACAGTGAGAACAATTAACCAGTGGAACCACCTGCCTCCAGAAGCGGTGAATGCTCCAACACTGGAAGTTTTTAAGAAGAGACTGGGCAGCCATTTGTCCAAAATGGTATAGGGTTTCCTGCCTGCAGGGGGTTGGACTAGATGACCTCTAAGTTTCCTTCCAACTTTATTGTTATTGTTATTATTATTACTTTGCAGCTAATCCTTGCATCCTTTCAGGGCTGCAAAGCAAAGGAAAGCTGAAGTCAGATCCTAAGATTAGCCACCCTTTCAATTAAGCACTGTTTCACTCAATAACGGAATTGCTGGTCGCTAAACAAGGAGTCCCTATCCCCTCTTCCTAAACGAGGATAGGCTGAAATAGAAGCAGAAAGAGCGTCTGCAGTATCTCAGCTGGACAGCTGATTTCATCTCATCAGATTGCATGTAAGCAAAACTGACCAGGACCGTAGCAGTCTAAAATACAATCCTCTGTATTGTAGACAGCTCACCTCCAGATTCCCTCAACGTTTCAGATTTCTCTTCCTTTCCACGAGATGGCAGCCTCACAATATTTTAGAAAGAGTATTCCCAACTGCATACTCCATTTCATCCTCCAGGGAAAGATTGAAGGCCAACGAGGTCCAGGCAGAAGAAGAACATCGTGGCTTCAAAATCTAAGGGACTGGTTTGGACAAAACTCAGCAGCACTTTTTTGTGCGGCAGCTGATAAAAACAGGATCACCAACATGATCGCCAACGTCCGATAACGGATAGGGCACAAGAAGAAGAAGAAGAATTTCCAACAGTCAAGTGTTTCAGACCTATCTGGTCCCACGGGATGGAACAGTGCAAATGAACTTAGAAGCAAGCGGCTTCGTCTGTCCCTTACAGCTAAACCAGATAAGGTCTCTCTTCCATTCATTTTGGGAAAACACAGGTGGATAATACTTGTGAATGGAGCACGTCTTGCATTTCTTCTCTGCTTTTGCTCAAATCCCAATTTTAAAATGCCTTGCAGTTGATCACTGCAAAGGACCTGGGTGCTCTCCTAGCTGGGCGGTTTTCTTGCAGATGTTTCATTGCCCAGCTAGGTAATATCATCAGTGTTAACATGAAAGATGTTATCTAGTTGGGTAGTGAAGCATCTACCAAAAAAAACAAAAACAAACCCAGGCTCAGAGAGCACCAAGGAACCCACAGTTCTGCTCCTCCTCCTCCTCCTCCTCCTCCTCCTCCTTGCACTGATGAAGTTACTTAGTTGGGTCATGAAATGTCTGCAAGAAAACCAAGCTCAGAGAGCACCAAGGACCCCACAGTCCTCTCCTCCTCCTCCTCCTCCTCCTCCTCCTCCTCCTCCTCCTCCTCCTCCTCCTCCTCCTCCTCCTCCCTTCTTGCACTGATGATGTTCCCTAGTTGGGTCATGAAATGTCTGCAAGAAAACCGCCAAGCTCCATGTGCCCCAAGGACTCCACAGTTCAGCCCTGAGCTAAAAACATTCTCTTCTACCAATCTCTATAAAGATAGTACTGCAACATCTAGCAAAACCAGTGAGGCCCTTCCCACGTGAGAAAGCACATCATAAGATTTGTCCCAGCCAAGCAGAAAACCCGACAGGACACAGCAAGCGTCGCTTGGGCCAAATATTGCAGCATGAAGCAACCCAAATCAAAGCTGGAAAGTTTCCAGCAATCTGACTTTGATGTTAAATCAGTGCAGAATTCACCCAGCTAGAAACTTTAATTAGATAAGTGAAAAAAAAAAGGCAGTAAGAGATAAGCCTTTGGGTCACAGAGAGGCACCATAAGACTTCTCTGTTTCCCATGCTCAGATTCCTTCCCGATCTTCAACCTCGTTCTTCGTTCCCCCCCCTCCATTTACCTGAATATCCAGGTAAGCAGTCACACCGGTAGCTGTTCACCAAGTCCAAGCAGCTTCCTCCATTTTGACACGGCTGAGATTCGCATTCATCGGTGTTGATGGAGCAGGTTTCGCCTTCAAAGAGATTGCAAAGCAAGTCATGCTCCCAACCTGTGTTCCACATTGATTTTTTTTTGGGGGGGGGGGGGGATCGATCGCTAACTTGATTCAACGAGCGGGCTTGAATTTATGAACTTGAACCACAGACCCCCACCCCCATACATTGAAAAGCCCGTTCTGTTCTTCTGCAGCACTTAAAGGCTTATTTAAACCGTCCAAAATGATCCCATGGAAGAAAGACGGACAGGCCCAGAATGAAAATCTATAACGATCTAAAAAGCAGGGCAAATCTAGACAGCACACTAAAAAGCAGAGACATCACCCTGCCAACAAAAGTGCGTATAGTCAAGGCTGTGGTTTTCCCAGTTGCAACGTATGGCTGTGAAAGTTGGACCATAAGAAAGGCTGAGTGCCAAAGAATTGAGGCCTTTGAACTCTGGTGCTGGAGAAGACTCCTGCGAGTCCCTTGGACTGCAAGGCATTCAAACCGGTCAGTCCTAGAAGAGATCAACCCCGACTGCTCTTTAGAAGGCCAGATCCTGAAGTTGAAACTTAAGTAAAGTACTTTGGCCACCTAATGAGAAGGAAGGACTCACTGGAGAAGGGCCTGATGCTGGGAAAGATGGAGGGCAATAGAAGAAGGGGACGACAGAGAATGAGGTGGCTGGACGGAGTCACTGAAGCAGGAGGCGTGAGCTTCAATGGACTCCAGAAGATGGTGGAGCACAGGAAGGCCTGGAGGAACGTTGTCCATGGGGTCACGATGGGTTGGACACGACTTCGCAGCCAACAACAATCGCATGAAAAACCCAATAAGGGAGGAGGAGAGGCTGATACCTTGATCTGTCAGCTAATTCCTGATCCACGGTACAGACCCCGTGGGATCCCCCCAAAACAAGTGAAAAGAACACACCCTCAAAACCAGGGTGACAACTGCAGATGAAACCAGCAGCTGCTCGGTAGCTAAATTGCTCGGGGAAATCCATGTGTCTCCCATAGTAGGTCTGATTGGACCGTTCGAGGCATTCTCCATCGTTGAGACACGGATGCGCCCAACACTCGTTTAGGTCTTCTTCGCAGTGGGTTCCTACGTACCCTAATGTCAAAGAATAAAGGGACAGAAGATGAGCCAAATTAGGAACTCTGGAGTGGAGGCAAGGTGCCCTACCTCAATTCAACCAGGTTCTTGTTTGAGTTAGTGCACCGGTTTGACGCAAGGACAATCCAGAAGACCTTCCCTGCGGAACCCATCCATGTCTTCTTTAAGAAATAGCATCCAAGTTTTAAAAACATTTCCTTACCTGGCCAGCAAGAACAGTTGTAAAATCCAGCTCCTTCCAAGCAAGGGGCCCCATTCTGACAAGGTTGTGAAGCACACTCCAAGATGTCCGACTCACAATGTTGTCCTTCAAAGCCAGTGTTATGACAGTCACACTGGTAGCTAAGGAAGAAGAAAAAAAATTGTGGGACTGACTGATTTAGCACATCCTTTTTGTTCCATAGGGGTGGTCAATGCCTTATGACGCCCCGTGTCAATTTCATCCCTGGGTTTAGCTCAATGCGTCTTGACTGTTCCTCAGCTGTGTTCCTCACAGTTCCTCCAAGGTGTGGCCAGAGCATTAAAATAGCCTAGTCCTGTCGACGGGGTGTGCACTGCACCATCAGTCACATCCTCTGTGCGTTCCTCACAGTTCCTCCAAGGTGTGGCTGGAGCATTAAAATAGCCTAGTCCAGGGGTAGGCAACCTTGGCTCTTTTATGACTCGTGGACTTCAACTCCCAGAATTCCTGAGCCAGCCATGCCTCAGCTGGGTGGGAACAACAGGCTAAGACTGAGGGAGACAAGCTACAGGAGCAGCTGCCACCTATTAGCAAGGAGGAGGAGATACAGTCCACACCTCTAGAGCAGAGAGGAGACAGGCATAATGCAGGTCAGCTAGGCTATTCGCGAGGAGGCAGCCTTGCTTCTCATGAAGGGCTGCACCAGTATTGCCTACTTAACCCCACCCGGAGGACTTGAGTGTTGTTGTAGCAATGTGCCCAGTTGTATGCTTTGTGTGTTCGTGCCGTGTATCCTGGCCTGCTTGACTCCTGGACTTTGTGTATGCCCGTTGGACTTGCTGTATTGAGCTTGGAATCTGGACCTGCACAACGGGGTGCTTTCTGAGCACCTGTTTGGGGGAGGTTGAATAAACACCTTAGAATTCTTGCTGTATGTGTGTGTGGGGGGGGAAAGTGGGGCAGCACAAGAAGCCATTGACTTTGTCATCAAGACTCTCACCCATTGATTAGGTCCTGGCAGATAGCTCCGTTCAGACAAGGCTGGCTGTGGCATTCATCAATATCCACTTCGCACTGGGTTCCTTCGTAGCCCGGCAGGCAGGAACAAGTGAAGAACCCAATATGGTCCAAACAGGTGCCACCGTGCCAACAGGGACTTGATTCACACTCGTTGACCTCCACATCACAGTTCACACCTTTGTGACAAAAAGAGAAGGATGGATTCGTTTATATATACTACACCTTCTAAAGGCTGCACGGTGGGTCCTTCCCTCTCTAAATCAGGGTCTCTCAACCTGAGCAACTTGTGGCGTGGATATCAACTCCCAGAATTCCTTAACTGGCTGGCAATTCTGGGAGTTGAAGTCCACTTCTTTGAAAGATGTCCAAGTTGAGAAACGCTGCTTTAAATAATTCAGAAGGGGGGAGGGAGAAAGAGAGGGAGAAAGAGAATAAGAGGAGAGAGAAGAGAGAGAGAAAAGAGAGAGAGAGAGAGAGAGAAGGAGGGGAAAAGAGAAAGAGAGAAAAGAGAGAGAATGAGAGAGTAGGATGGAGAAAGAGAAAAGAGAACGAAAAAAGAGGAGGGAGAAAGAGAAAAGAGAAAGAAAAGAGAGAGGGAGGGTGAAAGAAAAGAGAGAAGGAGGGAAAAAGAGAAAAGAGAACGAGAGAGTAGGATAGAGAAAGAAAAGAGAAAGAGAGAAGGAGGGAGAAAGAGAAAAGAAAGAGAAGGAGGGAGAAAGAAGAGAGAGAAAGAGAAGGAGGGGAAAAGAGAAAGAAAATGAGAGAGTAGGATGGAGAAAGAGAAAAGAGAGAAGGAGGGAGAAAGAGAAGAGAGAGAAAGAAGGAAGGGAAAAGAGAGAAAAGAGAGCGAACGAGAGAGTAGGATGGAGAAAGAGAAAAGAGAGAGAAGGAAGGAGAAAGAGAGAAAAGAGAAAGAGAGAAGGAAGGATAAAGAGGAGAGAGAGAGAGAGAAGGAGAAAGAGAGAAAGAAAGAGAGTGAGAAAAGAGAGAGAGAGAGATGGGAAACTATTGTTTCCATGGGAAATTCAGGCTGTGAGGGAGGGAAATGCTCCAGATTAGCATATTTTTAACCAGTGTTCAGCATGTTTGCCCCCAGGTTCAAAAAAGGAGGTCTCTCATTAACGGTGAGAATTATTTATCCTCCGCCAATTTGCAGATTTCCAGCAGGTCCACCAAGAAACCCCTAAAAGAAATCTAAGTGCCCCCCCCCCCCGTTCTCTTTTTCGTAATCTGCTGACTTCAGAGAATGTATCCCTGGGCCGCTACCTGCAAATCCACTTAATTCCAATTTTCTGGCTCAGCTCTGCTTCACAGCAGTCCCGGCCAGACTAATCCACCAGGAATGTGGGCCCCTTAATCTGACAGAGCTGTCCAGCCTTAAGCAAATGCCTGTCCAGCTCCTGCTAAAAGGGACTCGGTCCTTGTGGGGGAATAGGCCAAGAGCTGAATCCCAGGTTGGAGTTAGCGGTGGGATTCAAATAGGTGAACAACCAGTTCTCTCTGTGGATGCCGCTTCCGGAAGTCCATTCTGGGCCTGGGCAACAAAAAATTAGCTACCGGTTCTGCTGAAGTGGTGCGAATTGGCTGAATCCCACCACAGGAAGGAAGGAAGGAAGGAAGGAAGGAAGGAAGGAAGGAAGGAAGGAGGGAGGGAGGGAGGGAGGGAGGGAAGGAGTGGTGGAATTCAAATATGTGAACAGGTTGTTCATCAAAGCACCAGAGAGAAGGACGAGAAACAATGGTTGGAAACTGACCAAAGAGAGAAGCAACCTAGAATTAAGGAGAAACTTCCTGACAGTGAGGACAATTAACCAGGGGAACAGCTTGCCACCAGAAATCGTGGGTGCTCCATCACTGGAGATTTTTGAGGCTAGACAGTCACTTGTCTGAGATGGTGTAGGTTCTCCTGCCTGAGCGGGGGGCTGGACTAGAAGACCTCCAAGGTCCCTTCCAGCTTCTATTCTATTCTATTCTATTCTATTCTATTCTATTAATATGTATTCAGTTCTAATTTCTATTGTAATTTCTATTCTATTCCATTCTAATTTTTATTCTATTCTATTAATATATATTCTATTCTAATTTCTATTCTATGCTATTCTATTCTGTTCTATTAATATACAGTATATTCCATTCCATTCTAATTTCTATTCTATTCCTTTTTCTATTCTATTCTATTCTATTCTATTCTATTCTATTCTAATTCTATTCCTATTCCAATTCTATTCCTATTTCTATTCTATTCCTATTTCTATTCTCTTTCTATTCCTATTTCTATTTCTATTTTGGAATTCCAATTCCAATTCTCTTCTCTTCTCTATTCTATTCTGTTTTCCCTTCTCTTCTATTCTGTTCTTGGAGCTTCCAAACTCTCACTCCCTCCTCCTGAGCTGAAAGGAGCTTTCCAAAGGGAATGCTGGAATCTCCCAGAGGAGGAGTGAAAGAAAGGTATTTGCCCTCCTTCCACTCTTCCCCAGATCCCTCCTTTCTGTTGTTCTTAACAGAGAGGAAATTCTTCTGCCAAGAATCACCGAAAGGGCATCCAGTGTTGCAATTCCTCTCCCGCTGCTGCTACCGCTGGTAACCTTCAGCCCGTCAAGTCTCTGCTCACATTCCTTCGTGGCCATGTAAGGCGCAGAGAGGAGCAAGGCCAGAGGGTGTCTCCGTGCCGGCTGGTACCAGGTGGAGGAGCAAATCCTGCGGTCCACATTCCACCCAGAGACCAAAAAAAAAACCCCCCAAACCCTCCTCCCCCTCGTGGCTTCTGCTGCTTCAGCAGGGAGCTGGCAAGGCCCCCGGTGAGTCAGTGCCAACTTCGTCCAGGAAAAGAGCTTGTGTTGCAACTAAGAGAGAAATTTGGGGACTCAGCCTTTTTTTTTTTTTTTGACACCTGCATCTCAGGGATGCTGGCTGGACTAACGTTATTGCACTGGCAACGGGCCCCATTTGATCTTTGCTGTATCCCAAGGGAGGCTGCCACAAAGAGGAAGGGGCCCATTTATTTTCCAAAGCACCAGAGGTCAGGACAAGAAACGATGGATGGGAACTCATCAAGGAGAGAAGCAACCTGGAATTAAGGAGAAACTTCCTAACAGCGAGGACGATTAACCAGTAGAACAAGCAGCCTCTAGAAGTGCTCCATCACTGGAGGTTTTTAAGAAGAGACTGGACAGCCCCTTGTCCGAAATGGTCTAGGGTCTCCTGCTTGAGCAGGGGGCTGGACTAGAAGACCTCCAAGGTCCCTTCCAGCTCTGTTCTGATTCGGATTCTAAGCTTAACTGGTGCCGAGCGGTATTTCTCAATTTAGCAAGTTTAAGGATTTAAGAATTCTGCGAGTCCACATGTTTGAAACTTGCCCTGGTTGAGAAATACTGAGCAAGGAGGAGTATCGAGCAGTGATTACAAGGCTCATTTGAAGGTTCACAGAAAACCTTCTGGACTATATCTGCCCTAACTCTCTTATAATCATGAATTTTTGGTTGCAGTTTTGATGCCCTGAACATTTGCTAACAAGAAGGGATGCGTTATCTTCTCCTCTCTAGTAAATAGCTGTAGCAATAGCACTTGTATACCGCTTCACAATGCTCTACAGCCCTCTCTAAGCGGTTTACAGAGTCAGCATATTGCTCCCCCCAACAATGTGGGTCCTCATTTTACCAACCTCACAAGGAAGGAAGGCTGACTTAACCTTGAGCTGGTCAGGATTAAACTCCTGGCAGTCGGCAGAGTTAGCCTGTGCTACCATGGCAGATAGATAGATAGATAGATAGATAGATAGATAGATAGATAGATAGATAGATAGATAGATAGATAGACAGATAGATCGATAGACAGACAATGATAGATAGATAGATAGATAGATAGATAGACAATGATAGATAGGCAGACAATGATAGATAGATAGATAATGATAGATAGATAGACAATGATAGATAGATGATAGATAGATATATAATAAGATAGACAGACAGAGACAGAAATAGATAGATGATAGACAGACAGACAGATGATAGATGATAGATAGACAGACAGATGATAGATGATAGATAATATATAGATGATAGATAGATAGATAGATAGATAGATAGATAGATAGATAAGATAGATAAGATAGATGACAGATAGATATAGCAATACAATAGCACTTAAGACTTATATACCGCTTCACAGTGCTTTACAACTCCCTCGAAGCGGTTTATAGAGTCAGCATCTTGCCCCCAACAATCTGGGTGACAGGTGTCAAACTCGCCATGTCATGTGACGTGTCACGACGTATCACAACTTTTTTTTGCATTGCCAGAGCTGGGATGAGCGCGGCCTCCGTATGATGCAACTGGCCCACGGGCCGGCAGTTTGACACCCCTGATCTGGGTCCTCAGTTTACCGACCTTGGAACGATGGAAGGCTGAGTCAACCTTCAGCCAATGAGATATGAACTGCTGGCAGTGGACAGAGTTAGCCTGCAATACTGCATTCTAACCACTGTGCCACCATGGCTCTTTTGTGTCCCCACTGCTATTCTGCGCCACCAATAACATCAATTCTGTCACCACAAATGAAGAGCTAGATGGCAACTGTATGTTATTGATGGGAGGCTGATGAATCACCAAAGGTCACCCTTCCCAGAATCTAAAAAAAAGATGAAATGTCCACAGTACCTGTGTAGCCAGGCAGACACTGGCAGACGTAATGGTCTATCTGGTTGAGGCAGGTGCCGTTGTGTTGACAAGGTTGGGAAGCGCATTCGTTGATGTCCATTTCGCAGCGGTAGCCCTGAAATCCCGGCACGCAAAAGCAACTATACTCGTTGACTCGGTCGAGGCAGATGGCTCCGTTCTGACAAGGGTTGGAGGCACACTCGTCTACCTCCCCCTCGCAGTGAGCACCAGTGAGTCCCGGCGGGCACTGGCAGGTGTACGTCCCTCCATCCTCAAGGCAGGTGCCATTGTTGCAAAGTTGACTTGAACAAATGGAAGACCTCGATGGACAGATGTTTCCACTTGGGCAGTGACAGCCATACCCATCCTGGAGGTTGACACACACAAAGCCAGGCTGAGGGCAAGGCTTAGTCTTGCACTCATCCTCGTGGGATCTGCAAGAGACATCTGCCAAACTGGACCCACAGTGGCAAGTGTAATTCAGGTATCCAGGTGTGCCACTGCAACTCCACTCAGGTGGACAAGGGTGTTCATCACACGGCTCAGCTAGCAACTCACAGTTTCTTCCCACGTAAGCCAGGGGACTGTGGGCACACAAACATTGGTAGCCACCTTCCAGGTCTCTGCAGGTCCCTCCGTTCTGGCAAGGGGCTGTGGAGCAAAGGTTGGCCGGTTCTGAAGTGGCTTGTCCTGGAGAGGAAAAAACAACAACGATAAAGTTAGAGGAACATTCCCACGTGTGTTTGCGTAGCTTTTGGTTGAGAGGAGAGCTTGGTCCCACGCCATGAGAGAATGGTGGCTAATTATGACCGTGATACGTGGCAAATCAAAATTAAAGGCTAAAAATTGCACATCTGCTAAAGTCGATGTCACAACAATGGTGACAGCAGCTTGGAGGGAGAATTTGACCCGAGCCTAATGAGACAAGGGACAAAATGGCTGAAGAAATATGTCAGCTTCTAAAGTTTCTGGTTAGCGTCTAAATCATTACCTTGACAAAATAGAATGGAATGGAATGGAACATAGAATATAGAATATGGAATAAAGCTGGAAGGGACTTTGGAGATCTTCTAGTCCAGCCCCTCCATTCAAGCAGGAGAACCTATACCATCTCAGACAAGTGACTGTCTAGCCTCTTCTTAAAAATCTCCAGTGATGGAGCACCCACAATTTCTGAAGGCAAGATGTTCCACTGGTTAATTGTCTTCAGTGTTAGGAAGTTTCTCTTTAATTCCAGGTTGCTTCTCTCCTTGATTATTTCCATCCGTTGTTTCTTGTCCTGCCCTCTGGTGTTTTGGAGAATAACTTGACCCCTTCTTCTTCTTTGTGGCAGCCCCTCAGATATTGGAACCCTGCTATCATGTCCCCCCTAGTCCTTCTTTTCTCTAGCCTAGCCATACCCAGTTCCTGCAACCGTTCTTCATATGTTTTTGTCTCCAGGCCTTTGATCATCTTAGTTGCTCTTCTCTGAACTTTTTCCAAAGTCTCAGCATCTTTTTTTGTAATGTGTTGACCAAAACTGGATGCAGCATTCCAGGCGTGGCCTTACTAACCTCAGTAAGTTATAAAGCGGTACTAATAGCTGTGTTTCATGTGATTTGGTTTCTGTGCTTCTGTTTATACAACCAAGGATGGATTGTATACCTGTGATGGTACTGTGTGTGTGTGTTATTTCCCCGGTCAATTTGTGTTTTGTATTCCAATTGCCCTTCAGTTTTAGCATTACTTACACCTCTTAGAAGTGATACAAGTCCCAATGATGACGATGATGATGACGACGATGATGATGACAATGACGATGATGATGATATGATGATATGCCATCAAGTTGTCCCAAGAGGCAACTGGACTTTGTTTTTCCTTGAAGATGTTTCACTTGTAATCCAAGAAGCTTCTTCAGCTCTGACTGGATGGTGGGGAATGGAAGGAAGAAGCTTCTTTTGGATGAGAAGGGAAACGTCTTCAAAGAAAAACAAGAAAGTCCAGTTGCCTCTTGAAAAAGCACCTTTGGGACAACCCTGACCTGGATGACGGAACATCTCCATAGACATGCCATCAAGGTGTTGCTGACTCTTAGTGTCTTCATAGGTAGATGTTCTCCAAAACAATTTGTCCCTCACCTGGTCACTTCATGAGGACCTCTCTAGCACTCGTCAGCAGCTTCATACAGTATGTTCTCATCACCTTTCTTGATTCTCCTACCTCTGAACTTTTTTTTTCAAGGGTAACCTTAAAGCCGGACCATCCACCTGAAGATATTTTTTTTCCACCATCATTATCTACCTCTTTTCTGCTATCCTTGGCTGCTCTCTGACGTCTACCCGGGTTGTTTTTTTTTTGACCTCCTTTTTTCATAATTTGCCTCTCTTAGCTTAGTTTCCAGGATGCTTTGCAAATTTCTGCTGTTTGTCCTCTCCCTTCTCCCACCTCCCTTCCTGGGACCATTGGGGGAGTGGGAGAAGCTCTGGCTTTGCCTTCCCAAACACCCCCTTTGTCCTGCCCTCACTGCTTTTATTCTCCAATCTCCACTCAAGCGAGAACAGGGATGATCAAATGGGCCTGGTATGCATGGAGCAATTAGAGTGTGTAACTCAAGAGGCTGTTTTCCAGCAGGGCAGCCCCACAGTTCCACTCCAGCAAACTTCTCTCTCTCTCTCTCTCTCTCTCTCTCTCTCTCTCTCTCTCTCTCTCTCTCTCTCTCTCTCTCTCCCCCTCTCTCTCTCCAAATGCTCCAGCAGGCTGGGGCACAAGGTCCTCCCTTGCCTCTTCCTTGTAGATGCAGCTTGTGGAGCTGGCAAGAAAAGTGGTCCATGATAGTCATGGCTCTCTTGGAAATCTGGAACAGCCAGGAAGGTGCAGCTGGCACAGTAAGGCAGCTGGCGCTTTCTGTTGACCATCTGAGGAAAGAGATGGACTTTCCTGGGATGTTCTAGAAGGGGGATGGCTAGAGCAAAGGTTCACCCGTCTTTCATCCATCCGTCCGCCTAGCTGGTTCTCCCTGTTGACCATCTGAGATGGACCTCCTGGGATGTTCTAGAAAGGGGATGGCTGGAGCAAAAATGAACTCATCTTCTATCCACCCACCCATCCATCCATCCATCTTCTCACACATTTTGTGAAATGAAAGGTCTCCTCTAAAATATCTTGGGCTTTCATTCAGTGGAAAGAAAAGAGGTCAGGGGCTTGCAGATTGCATTCCAAAATGGAGCCGCACTTAACTAAAGTTCAGGTTCAAAAGAGATCTAGGTTTAAATCTGCAAATCAAAATGCTAAAACACACGTTGCTCTTTTAAAAACTGGATGGAGAAGGAACTTAACATTTTAAACCCAGGGATTAAAGTATCTGGTTCTTTTGGCTGGATTGGTTTTGGAATTGGGATGAATTTGAAAATTATTGGGAAGTACTGTTTTTTCTTATTTGGAACCATTCTGAGATATAGTTCCATGAAGACCAACTTAGCTATTTAAAAAAATCATAGATTCTTGGGATTAACCGCGTTTCTCCACCTTGGCAATGTCCTCAGCCAGCATCCTCTCCCTTACTGGGGGACTCTGGAAGTCCAACATGTCCAGGTTGTCCAGGTTGAGAAACAATAGGATGGAGATAGATAGATAGATAGATAGATAGATAGATAGATAGATAGATAGTAGGTAGGTAGATAGGTAAATGATGGATGGACAGATAGATGGTAGATAGGTAGGTAGACAGATGGATCGGTAGATAGGTAGATAGAGGATAGATAGATGGACGGATTGATAAATATAGATAAATAGACAGATGATAGACTACTAGATAGATAGCTAGAGCGAGAGATAACAGATAGATAGATAGATAGATAACAGATAGATAGATAGATAGATAGATAGATAGATAGATAGATAGATAGATAGATAGATAGATAGATAACAGACAGAGAGAGATAGGCAGGCAGACAGACGGACGAATGGATGGACGGATGGAGCGAGAGATGGATGGATAGATATAGATAAATAGACAGATAGACTAGATAGAGAGATAGAGAGATAACAGATAGATAGATAGATAGATAGATAGATAGATAGATAGATAGATAGATAGATAGATAGATAGATAGATAGCAGAGAGAGAGATAGGCCTGTATCAGCTCAGTCTAGAGCCATCCACAGACGTACCCTTCTGAGATTCGAACCTGGGCTGTGTGCATGTTAGGCAGCTGTATTAACCTCTAGGCCACAGGCTCTTTCTCACTTTGTCAGCTGTATCAGGGAAGGAAGAGACAGAGGGAAATATATATATATATTTCAGTAAAAAAAATAGATTTTAGCCCCTTCTAAGTTCTTCTCCAGGCTAAATTTATTTATTTATTTATTTATTTACTTATATACCGCTTTAAGTGCAAGCACTCTCTAAGTGGTGTACACCAGTAACAATGTATATATATATATTTACATTGCCCCCAACAATCTGGGTCCTCATTTGACCTACCCCGGAAGGATGGAAGGCTGAGTCAACCTTGAGCCGGTGAGATTTGAACCGCTGACCTGCTGAACACAGTCAGCTAAAGTGGCCTGCAGGACTGCACTCTTAACTGCTGTGCCACCTCGGCTCAAGCACTCATCTGACGCAAGCACCAGATGCAGTTCAGAGGTCCTGACCTCCCACCCTAGTCCTGGGCAATTGGCACCTTAGTTGTCATAATAACATTAGCCATGCACACACCATACCTGTTTCCTTGTATCCCTTTAGACAGCCTGCAGATAAGCTGATCCCATATCTGCACTTAAAATTCCAGGGGGGGATCACAAGGACAGGGGCTATCAGCCTTCTTCCTATTTTTACGTCTTCCATTAAAAGCTGGAGCTCACCCCAGAAAAGTGGACCCTTCTAGAGATCAGAGTAAGGATTGGAGACCAAGTATCTCTTCTGATACTAGGAGCTCCATCCTTGCTCATGGTTTAATTCTCCACAATGGTGTTTACTCCATTTGAGGACCAGAAGAGAGGCCGACATGGATAAGGTCTTCAGGAATTCTCAGGCAGGTCTTTGGGAGACTCGGAATCAGAATAGAGCTGGAAGGGACCTTGGAGGTCTTCTAGTCCAGCCCCCTGCTCAAGCAGGAGACCCCATACCATCTCAGACAAGTGCCTGTCCAGTATTTTCTTAAAAGCCTCCCGTGATGGAGCACCCACAACTTCTGGTGTCAAGCTGTTCCATTGGTTAATTGTTCTCACTCTTAGGAAGTTTCTCCTTAATTCCAGGTTGCTTCTCTCTTTGGTCAGCTTGTCTGGCTGAGGAATTCCGGGAGTTGAAGTCCACAAGTCATAAAAGGGCCAAATTTGAAGACCCCCTGGTCTAACTTGTCCCAAAGATGCTTTTTCAGGAGGCAATTTGCTTTTCTTTGAAGACGTTTCGCTTCTCTATGCAAATGACCAGCTGGCTGCGGAATTCTGGGAGTTGAAGTCCACAAGTCATAAAAGGGCGGAATTGGAAGACCCCTGCTCAAAATGAAACCGCAGGATTGTTCAGTTCCTTCATCCAAGGCAAGCCAGCAAGAAAAGTGCAAGTCTCATACTGAGGGACGCCTAAAGCCAGGAGCTCAAGAACGTGGAAGGTGAAACATCCCCAGGTATCCTTCACACGGAGGTGTGGCTTTTTGTGACATCAGGGTCATGTATGATAAAGGTTCCGTGTCATGTGGATGTGATATGGT